TATTATATAGAGATTAGAGAAGACGATAAAGAGTCCTTTTTAATTATATTAAATAGTTCTTAGTTAAATATAGAGAAATAAGTTAAGATATCTATATCTTCTTTATTTATATCTTCCTAATAAGTACTATCTATAGTATTACCTCTATAAGATATCCTTTTTCTAGTTAATACTACTTTCTTAACTAATCTAAGATTATCGATTAAAGATCGCTAATTAGTTAATTTAGCTACTAATAAGTATATTATTAATAATAGGAACCTCTTTATTAAATTTAAATCTTTTAATAACTTACTAAAGATCGATAATATAATAATTAAACTTTATAGAATAAGTAAAATCTAATTTTAGATTATAAGCCGCTTTAGTAATCTTATAACTCTTATTTTATTAAAAGTAGAGTTCTTACCTAGCTTTTATTATAATCTTATCTTAGTTATATTTATAAAATAGAAAGAATATAAAGCTAATTTTAATAAACTTATTATTATTAATAAGATAACTAAAAGGATCTTCTTTTATTTAAAGAAGATTAGTAACTTCTTTATACTTCCCTAAATAGATTTTATATTCCTAGTAGTATTTATTATTATATTATTTAATACTAAATATTCTTCTTTACTACTTATTTTAAAAGTAATAGCTTCTTAATAATATTAATATCTTAATTATATATATAATAAGTAAGTTTAATAACTTATCTAGATAATAAAAAGAGTATAGATTATTTTATCTATAATTATAAAGTATAAACTAGAGCTTTATAAGACTTATTAACTCTCTCGGATATTATAATAAGTCTTATATTATATTTAAAGTATAAATTTTAGTCTACTTAGCCGGATATATTTTAATCTTATAATATTATAAGAGGCTTATAATAATAATAAATAGATCTCCTATTTCTATTTTAATAAGATTCGCTTTTATTAGATATAAAGCTATAAGCGAAAGAGCGGTTATTAGGAAGTAATTATTTAATTTATTTTATAATTATAGATCTAGTTTAACTTATTAATCTATATATTTTAATTAGATAATAAAGTCTTTATAAATAAAGATATTATTTATTTTTTATAAGAGAACGGGATAATTATCTAGTACTCTATTATTAGTACTCCGGAATAGAACGGTTTCGCCGAGCGATCTAGGAGGGTAATTATCGCTAGAGTAAGAGTACTTTTTAAAGATTTATAACTTTTTAAAGAATTCTAGCTAGAAATAGTTTAGGCTATTATATATATATTTAATAGATCGCTAATAAAACTTAACTTAAGAAAGTAGATTATTTTATAATAAGAATTTTATTATTAGAGAATAGATATTTTTATTCCTATTAATCTTTTAAACTTATAAGTTTATAATTATTATATCTATATAAGAATTTAAAAAATCTTATAATTAGATAAAATATATTAATATATAGAGATAGGCTATTTAGTTAGATACTAAGTAAATAATATTTAGAAAGTCTAGTTTCTCTAAATAAATAATTATAAGTTTATTTATAATACTACTTTTAATAAAAATCTAAATTATAGAAAGTATCTTTTAGAACCGCTAAAGATCTATTAAAAATAGATAGCTAATATTATTAATAAAGATAAATTTAATATAAAGTTAAAGCGAGCGATTCGCTAAGTAAATATTATACTAATTATATAGAATAATCTTTAAGATAAAGAGTAAGATTATACTTTTTAAGATCCTCTAGAGTAGAAGTAAGATTATACTACTAAAGATAAATAGAGAGAGAAGGATCTTTAATACTATTATATAATACTTTCGCTATTATTAAATATTATTCCTTTATTAAAAAGTACTTTATAAAGCCTATAATTAATTAAGATCCTATTTTTATAAAGTAAGAAAGCTTCTCTAATTACTTTACTATTAATAGCTATATCTTATATATCTATTATACTAGATAATAAGCCTTTTATTATAATTATTCTAAAGAAATTATAAAAGTAGATTTTATAAAAATAAGATAATTAAGATATAGTACTATTTTATTAAATATAACCGGACTAATATAATTTATTAGTTTTATAAGTATCTAGTACTTTCCCTAAAATTAAAATATTAAAAACTACTATTTTATTAAAAGTATTTATCTAAAGAGATATTATACTATTTAATATACTCTAAGATAGATAATAAAAGCGAGTCTATAAAAACTTAGATATAATAAGCTATCTTATTTATAATAGCCTTAAGAATAGGTTTAAATTAATACTTATAGTATTTATAACTAGTCTTTTAATAAGCTATTCTTAGCTAAATAGATATTAAGATAATCTTCTTCTAGAGCTATAGATATAGAAGGAGATATTTAATTATCTACTTATTAAAGACTTTCTTACTATTATAAAGCTTAAAACTAAATTAATTAAAGTAAGGAAAATATATAAAATAGAACTATATTTATAAAATAAAAGTATTTAGATACTTCCTCTAATCTAGATATTTATCTATAAATTTAATAGTAATAACTTCTTAATTAAGCTAAAAGCTAGGATTTATATAAGAGATAATCTTTAAACTATTAACTCTAAAGAAAAGAGAGTAGTAACGCTTACTACTCGAATAGTAAAAGCTATATTTATATTTATTATTATATTTAATCTTAGTATAATATAGCTTAATACTATTAATATATTCCTAAATAGTAACTTTAATAATATTATCTATATTTAGATATCTAAAGGCTTCCACGATAGAAGTAATACTTAGAGACTATAAAAAGTATTTTATAAACTTAGAAAGTCGCTATATCTATAATAATAAGAAGCTATATATATATTTAAAAAGCTTAGATTTATCTTTATATTTAAAGACCTCTACTTATTTATAAATAAAGATATAATTATCTTCTTTTATATAGATAATATTATTATTATCTTCTATTAAATAAAGTACTAATAAGCTTTTTAATTAAAATAAGATCTTAAAGACTATTAAGAGCTTTAAAAAATAAAAGAAACTATTTAGTTTTTTAGGATTAAGATTCTCTAAGATACTACTAAATATAAGCTTTAGCTTTATTAGGATTTATATATCTCTTCTATAGCGACTTATTATAGCCTTATCTATAGTTATAAATATAAAACCCTATTTCTAATAAATAAAATAATAAAGTTTACTAGAATAATAAATAAAAAATAGATCTATAAATACTAATAGAAGCTTAGTTCTACTCTTTATCTAACTATTATTACTCGCTTAAATATAGCGAAGATAGCTAACTACTTAGCCGAGTTCTTTATAAATTTAAGCCTTAAGTATTAAGAAATAGTAAATCGATTAATCTAATATCTTTATAATATCTAGTTTCTTATTTTTAAATACTACTTTATATATTCTACGCTTATTCTCTTCTTTTTAAGTAATACTTCCTTTAATAATTATATTAATCGGAAAAGTTTAGAAGGCTTCTTTTATAAGTTTTTTAGAGCTATTATTAACTAAAAGATAAGTAAATAGAAGATAATAATAATATTAATTATAAAAGTAGAGCTATTTACTATTTTAGAAGCTAGTAAGATAGCTATATAATAAAAAAGGCTTCTTTATATAGTTAGTCTTAATTATAATATTAGATTCTCGATCGACTATAATAATTAATAAACTATAGATTTACTTATTAGAGAGTAGCTATAACTTCGTACTAAGTTACGATATATCGATATTTATTATTATTAGCTTTATTAGAAAATTAATAAAGAATATATTATAATATAGTAGGTAGCTACTACTAATATATAGGTAGATAGCCTTATAAAACTCCTTCTAAAATAAGCTTACGAAGTATTTATCGAAGTATTTAGGCTAGTCGATATCTAGTACCTAGTCGATAAATAGATTACTTAATAGAAAGAACTTTAGAGTACTAGAAGGTAGCTCCTAGGGGGGTATATCGACTAGAATAACTCCTTACCCGTCCCGTTATTACTAGTTTTCTCTTTATATATAAGTAGGACCTACTTCTTATTATTAGTAAGCCCTTAGTAGCCTATAGTCCTAGTTTCTAACCTCGGTTAGATAGGATAGGCGGTCTATACTTCTACCAGACATTAGAAGAGCGGTCTAGAAGTCTGACTGAGGTTAGAGTTTTCAGCCAGAGGTTTCCAAGAATTACACTCATTTTACCACTTGCTCGATATAGTAAGATCTTGGTATCAAGTCACTTGCCCTGTTCCCTTCGTTTGACACTTGATGCCTGAGAGGTCAGGCAGGGGGGGTGGGGGTCGAATTAGATAAAGGGGGTCGCAGTAGCAATCCCCTAAGAATTTAGTATCAAGCCACATTGCTCTTCCTCCGTTCGACACTACTAACGGGGTAGACTAAGTAGATTTAGTAGGGAGTGAACTAGCGTCGATATATCCCTTTAGTAATACTAGCCGACTAGTTGATAGGCTCGATCTTCCGGATCGAACCCTAGCACTAGCCGCGCCGCGTACTACAACCGCTCGTCTATCGGCGATAGCGGATTGGTGAAGAACGCTCCTAGGCGCCAGAGACTCAAGAGAGTATTAACCCTCATGATACAGACCTGGCCAAGTCCCACTTGCCTGAGGCACCGAGCCTCTGCAATCCCTGCAAAGCTCTCGGGAGCACACTCCTAGTACCATTAGTCTTAACTAGTTAGCAGTTGTAGATAGTTCTCTTCCTCTCCTTTCGCTATACAGAGATTTCCAGTGCACTACTATTCCTCATCTGTAGTCCTACTACTTCTCTCTATCAATCTTGTATATGGCTAGATCGAGTGGCACTTCAACATAAATGGCAGGTTACGAAACATGTTTAAAATGGTATCAGTTCTAGGCGTAATCCAAAGTTGATGTCATATAACATACTACAGGCATTGATCATATTCGTCATCATTTTCGAAAGCGGTATTAGCAAAGCGATGTTCATGCCTTTCCATTGCCCAAAAGGTCCACGGGTAGGTATATTGGCCAAAAAGCGACCTGAAACCAATCCATTCTCACCCCAGACTACGCAGGGTGATCCGGCGGAAACCAAATTCTCATGGTGCGGGTGCTGGGGGAGGGGCATCGGGCTTTTTTTTCCACTTTAGGACCCCCTTTGCCCCCCCGGCGATTGGTGCCACCTAACATCCACATCGCGAAACTTCCGGGGACAACTGGTCCTCCGGCCTTGGCTTTCTTAGGGCCTAGAGAAAAGGTCAGCGCATGTCTCTGGGAGTGTTTCAAGGGGGTATTCTTACCGTCTGCTTTCTTTTTCGGCTCGGCAGGTGGATCGGCAGGTGGATCGGGAGGTTTTACCGGAGCAGGCTCTGGCGCAGGGGGAGGGTCTTCCTTTGGCTTTTCGGGAATTGGCCACATGTGCATAGTGATAGCCCAGTCAGGCTCGATTACAGTTTCCCAAACCTGTGGGAGGATAATGTCGCCATTCGGACCAATAAGATCGTAATGGCCCTCGGCCACATGGGGTCCAATGACTTCAATATGGAGGAAGGCCTGCCGGATGAGCTCCTCCATTCCCTGGAACCCAAAGTTAGAAATAAGAAAATCAGACCAACAGAGTGAGGCGAGTTGACATACCTGCCAGGTAGCACATAGTTCAAATGGAAAACTGAATTTCCTCCCAACAGCGTCCTTGAATTTGATAGGCTGCTTCTTCTCTGGGGGTGGCGGTGGTGGCGGCGGTTCGGCAGCTTTAGCAGCTGCTTCAGCAGCCTCTGCGGCCGCCTTGGCAGCTGCTTCATTAGCCGCGGCCGTTGCTGCCGCTGCTGCCTCAGAAGCGGCCGCGGCAGTGGCTTTCTCCGCCTCCTCCTTGGCCTTTGCGGCATCCTCCGCTGCCTTTTTTTCCGCATCTGCTCGAGCAAGCGCCGCAGCTTCCAGGGTAATTTTCCTATCATGCGCGGTCTGTGCATCCTGAGCTGCTTTCTCGGCAGCTGCGCGTTCAATGGCCTGTTTCTTTGCAAGCTCCTTCGCCTCGCGGTCTAGGCGGTCGTCCAGAATCAACTTCTCGAGCCTTGCAATTTGCTCATCCTTGGCAGTGTCGACTGGCGGAGGCGGCGGTGGAGGCGGCGGTGGAGGGGGCGCAGGTTCAGGTGCCGGAGCTGGAGCTGGGGCTGGAGCTGGGGCTGGGGCTGGAGCTGGAGCCGGTTCGGGAGCAGGTGTCGGGGGTGGGGGGGATTTAGGTTCGGGTTGCACTGGAGGAGAAGGCACTGGGGGATAGGGTGGCCAATAATGAGGAGGCATCATGCCCGGGATCGGTCCCCCGAAATAGCTGGGTTGATCTCGATAGAAACCAGTCTGACCGTAGGCCATCAATTCGTGGGGATATCCGGGGTAAGGGGAGTGTGCACCGTGTAGACCCATCGCGTGCGGCATTGGCGGTTGCATTGGAGGTTGCATTGGATTGTGCAGTTGAGGCGGCTGGCGAGGCGCATGCCGTGGATGAAGGTGGGGTTGGTCGGGCGGAAAACCCGGTTGGAATTGAGGTGGATATCCATAGGGCTGAGGGACACCGTAGGGGTTAGGTTGGCCCGGGTGAGGAATTCTCATGAGTTCCGATGTAATTGGGGGAGGATTGTGGTGGGCATAGGGGTTATGGCCCGGGGGAGGAGGAGGAGGAGGGTAAGGCGGGTAAGATGGACCAGAGGACTGGCTGGGGGCGTATCCAGGGGCAGGTGGCATAGGTTGTTGCCAATTCCTCCGATCATTTCGACCAAAATTGGGCGGGTACTCGTCGGCGGAATCGGCACTGTCGGGGGAATCTGGTGATTGTTGTCTTCGGCCTCGAGGGGCGAACGACTGATGTTCTGGAACCATCCGTCGCGATGTTGGGCGACGGCCCGAAGCGGAGCGTGAACCGTGGGGCGGACGACTGCGGTGCGAAGTTCTTGGTCGGGAGGCTGAATCAGATGGTTTCAATTCATCCGGATATGGCAAATGCGCCCACTCATCATAATCCTGGTACTCATGACTTTCTAATTCGGAAGACGTAGGGACATGCACACCAGACGAGCCCTCGTCGTCGGAGTAAGAGCGATCCGAACCATGGGGGTTTGGATCAATGGAGATGCTGAGCCTGGAAAGAGAAAGAGAGAGAGAGTAAGGGTGAGGAAGTTTCTTTAAAAGAAGGGGGAAGAGGGAGAAGGGGAATAAGGGGGGGAGGGGGGGAAGAAATAGAAAACATACGTCATAGAGACAATGAGAAAGCGTATATATATTTATATAAAGAGATAGATATATATATAAATATAACTGGTCCTCTCACTCTTTTCGCATGCGCGAAGTGAGGAGGGAATACCCAAGTAGAGGGTTGGAGAGAAGTTTGGAGGGAAAGAAAATAATCGCGGGGGGTTTGTTGCGCATGGACGATTTCTCTTCCCTTTTTTATTTTTCCTTCTCTCTTTTTCCCTTCTTCTTATTCTTCTTTTTCTTTTTAACCTCTTTGAATGGAGTAGGAAAAAAAGATAAAAGAGAAAGAAAAAAAAGGATAAAAGATCCAAAAAAAAAAAAAAAAAAAGAAATCAATATTCCTTTCTTAATAGAGATATATAGGAAGGATAGGAATAAGAAATGTAGGAGTATACAATATATAGTAAAAAAGAACCAAACAAACAAGACAAGGGGTATCTCACTCTATGCGAAGAAAAAGAAGAAAAGAACAAAAGTAGGAATTAAAAGATAGTTAGTTCTTGAAATATATAAATATATAAATACTATAAATATATATTTTATTAGGCCCATTGGGCATTTCTTTTGTGTGTGAATTTTCAATTTTTTTTTCCTTTTGACACATCTGCTGCCCAAACGAAAATGCCCAATTACTTATCTTCTCTCTATACAACATATATACTCCATACATTACTCCATACATTCTAATAGAACACTCTAGAATCAACATATTTGTTTTTCCTTTTCTTTTTCTATTAGGATTCTCGAATCAAAAGGCTTAGTTTTAAGCCGCCTGAATATTACTTCATTGCCGATTTAGTAACTCCTTGGCTGCAATCAGCTCACTTCGACTCGATGCCCAATGTTGGTCATCCATCGACCGTGACTCAACAATTTCGCCCAACTTGAGGAGCGCAAAGGCCTTCAATCGTTCTAGGGTCTTCTTAGGAAGTTGACCTGATACGCCTGCGTAATCATTGTCAAGCATCCGAGTTGAGGCCTACCGGGAGGGAAAGGAAAACCTGGGTTAGAACCGAATAAGTCAATACCATTATCTGTGGACTTACCAAAGTTAACCCATAGAATCCTCGTAGATAGTCGTCGCAAAGTTCAATGCTTCGACTGAAGTGTTGCACAGACCTCCCAAGGAGCCGGGATGCGTCCCCGTCGGAGGCGCAGATGTATAGCAGTTCACCGAGGCGGGAATGAATCTTACATTTTGATGTTAGTGACCCGTAATCCCAAGATAAAAATAAGTTTCCCTTCATTTTTTTTTTAGAAAAAAAAAAGAAAAAAGAGGGAAGGGTGCATGATTGCATACATTCCAAGAGTTAGGAGCGATGAGTAAAGCCTCCTCGAGGCTAAAAATGGCCTGGGAACCCAACCCCTGTGACTGATACAAGTCGGCTAGTTCACACCAGGCTTCGGCATCGGTAGGGATGGCATCGAGGAGTTGAATAAGACCGGAGATTGCGTCAGATGGTCGGTCGAGCGAGCGTAACAATGCTACCCGGCGCTTTAGGATGGGCTGTGTATATGGTTAGTCTGGCATCTCATACCCTAAGACCTGCAATACTGACCACATTCACTGGACTTTGTGACAGTGTGTTGTCGTATTCCTGCAGGCATTTTTCTAGTGCCGACTGATCCTTGGCGGTTGCCTCCTCGTATAGACCTCGAAGCCCCATAATCCTTTCATTAGACGGTCCAAACCGGAGGCTGAGGCGATTCAGGCAGGTATGTGCTGACTGGTCATCCCCCGTCCGAAGACAGGCTAACAGAAGCTGCTCTAATCGTGCATAGTAATCTGCAGTTTCGGAAGAATTAGAGGTCACCCCAGACCCGGATTCCTGGCCAAGGATTGCTGGTGCTTGTTGAGCAAGATGAAGAGCAGAGATCAGATCCGATCCGCTGATCTCACGGATATCAGCGACGGGACCTGCCATAATAATCAACTGTTAAGAATGATAGTACAGCTTTCAATTAAATTAGAAGAAAAAGAAAAAGAAAAAGAAAAGCAATCCGAGAGCAGGGGTAATCCAATTAAGACAGATGTTGAGAGAGAACAGAGTGCACCGGAGACCGGAGCTGCTTAATTGGCCACAGTCCCGTGATCCGATCTCTTATCGGGGGATCCCCCAAACGCCAACTCTCCACACCCCGCGGAGCTCGGGTTGCTTGCACTCACACTTTACATCTTTCGTTCTCATCCTAAACTATGGCTGATCTGATAACCCAATTTATAATGCACCTCCAGTCTTACTAGGGGGCTTCGTTATTATTATTATTATTCTCTTCGACTCGAGCGTGCGACCATTGATAGCTCCGACACGATGTGGCTATACCATGTTTCCTGTCCCAGATTGGCCAACGCTAATTTCTAGTATAGGTTCGAAAAATCACTTTATGACCTTATCAAAGGTCTTCGGGGTCATAAGGGAGGTGAAAATGAATACATTCAGAGCTCCTTGCGCGAATGCAAGGCCGAGATCAAAACACAAGACATGGGTACTAACTCCCACCTATTCATCCGGCAATGAACTCGATGCTGACCTTAAGTAGACAAAAAGGCTACAGCCCTCTTGAAGCTCATCTACCTTGAAATGTTTGGGTATGACATGTCATGGGCATCTTTTCACGTTCTCGAAGTCATGTCATCCGCCAAATACCTCCAGAAAAGAGTCGGGTACCTCGGAGCAGTACAGAGCTTTCGACCAGACACCGAAGTTTTGATGCTGGCAACCAACTTGCTGAAGAAGGTTTGTACTTTGCATGGCTTCAAATTCCCCGTAGTTGTTAATTAACGCTCTTCATAGGATATTGTCACCTCCAGTATTCCCAACATGTCACTTCCCCTGATTACTTTGCCGCACATTATTACACCTTCCTTAGCAATGTCTTTGCTTCCTGATTTACTCTCTCGACTTTCACACTCAAGCCCCGTGGTGCGCAAGAAAACGATTGTCTGCCTCTATAGGCTTGCTTTGGTGTATCCCGAAGCTCTGAAGTTGGCATGGCCCAAGATAAAAGACCATTTGATGGATGATCAAGAAGATGGGAGTGTCACTACTGCGGCCATCAACGTCGTTTGTGAGCTTGGTTGGCGACGACCTCATGACTTTCTCCCTCTGGCACCTCGATTCTTTGAGCTTCTGGTTGACAGCGGCAATAATTGGATGGCCATCAAAATCATCAAACTTGTCAGTCCCCTATGCCCCCAAACCCCATGGAACGAATGCCTGTCTTTTGAGCACCATCTGACTTTTCCAGTTTGCAACATTAACCCCGCTGGAGCCAAGGTTGACTCGCAAACTCTTGCGTCCATTGACGAACATTATTCAAACCACATCCGCAATGTCTTTGCTCTATGAGTGTATCAATGGCATCATTCAAGGGGGCATTTTGGATGGCGAAGAGAATCTCCAGGAAAGGGACGAAGTTGCCACTCTTTGTGTTGGGAAATTACGGGGTATGATAGTTATGGATAGTGATCCTAATCGTGAGTATCCTTCCATCACGTTTCAACGTGTGATCGCTGACCATCGAGGCCAGTCAAATATGTCGCACTTCTTGCATTGAACCGCATTGTTGCCACGCACCCAACGTTGGTTTCCATGCAGCAGGATGTTATCATGGATTGTCTGGATGATGCGGACGTTTCTATCCGATTGCAGGCATTAGAACTTGCTGTTGGAATTGTCAGCAGTGATTCTCTCCAGCCAGTCGTGAACCGTCTACTAGATCAGCTGCAACAAGCCTCTGTCCCTGCGGCTGAATTGGTTGGTTCGCCCGAAACCTCCGAAAGCCCCAAAGCCCCGACCTTATGGCCCAACGACTACCAGACTGAGGTTGTTCACCGGATCCTGGATCTTTGTTCTCAAAAGAACTACTCTGAAATGGTTGATTTTGAGTGGTATGTCGCTGTGTTAGTACAGTTGGTCGGACTGCTCCCACCGTCGGAGAGTGAAGACGATTGGGGTCATCCGAAAGAGCAAGAGGCTATACCCAATCTGAGGATGAACGCTGCGCTTCGAATAGGGACAGAGATTCGCAATGTTGCTGTGAGGGTGAAAGGTGTGCGCATGGAGGCCACAAGAGCAGCCGAGTCTCTCATGTTTGTGGACAACAGATCAACTTTTTTCCCTTCCAGTTCAACTATCGGCGATGGTGTTTTAGGCCCCGTCGCCTGGGTTGTCGGTGAATATGCTGAATATCTGCTGTCGCCTAATCGGACACTACTGTCATTGATTAACATCTCTAATGCGTCGCTTCCCTCCAGGACTCTTCCCCTCTTCTTGCAAGCCATTCCAAAGGTGTTTATTCAGGTTAGCCAGACCAGCCAACCAGGAGAGCTTTGGAAAAGTGAGATGTCGCTTTTACTTGCTCGAGTCGTTGAGTTCCTCGAGGCTTTGGCGGCCCATCCTGATTTGGATGTCCAAGAGCGAGCTATCGAGTTTTTAGAAGTTCTCCGCCTAGCAGCTGAGGCATTGACTTCCGATACACAAGAAATCCCATTTCTTCTCGCCTCGGTCATACCAAACCTATTTACAGGCCTCGAACTCAACCCTGTTGCGACCAGTGCACAGAGGAAGGTTGTCTTGCCGGATAGCCTTCGCCTAGAGGCACCCCTTAGCCACGATCTGCCAGGTCTTTTCCGCAACCTGGATAGCCCATCATCACACGAGTTGAAGTCTTGGGAAACGTCAGACTTCTATCATCTTCCTGAACTCTTGTCTCCCGACAAGCAGACTCATGACCCTGCCCCGGTTGATTTACAGCCCCATGCGTCATATCAAAATTTTACCGGTGCTCCGGTGGAATCCTCCACTGCAGCACAAAGAAGAATGCTCGAGCGTAGGGAGCGCTTCAAGGATGACCCCTTCTATATTGCTCCTTCCGGAGATTCGTCTGGCACGTCTACGCCATTCCATGAAGCTCTGAATACATCCAATGGCGAGGTCTTGGACATTGATTCCATCCCCATAGTTGACTTGAAGTTGGGAGATGAACAGCCCAGCCATGTTGATTTCGATCGCCAAAGAAGTCGTCGAGCCCCTGTGAGCAAATTGGTTGTTGCTGGCGATGAGACCTTTGAAACCCCAAACCTTTTGACAGACGCCTCCAGGTCCAAGGGTGCTAGTGATGATCATCCTACATATAAGCGCTCTTTACTCCAGGTTGACTCGAGCAGCCTAGGAAATTTGTCCCTCGCAAAAGGGCCATCTCCCCAATTTTCTGCAGATGAAGGGGACCCAGAAATGGCGCGAGCAATGCAACAAGTGGAGGAAGTACGGTTGCAGATGCAACGAGCATCGGAGCGAATCCAACTAGAGGGCATCCCGGCAGAAGGAACCCTAGTCAAGAAAAAGAAGAAGACAAAAAAGCACGTCGCTTCAGACCGAGATGTTGGCCCAGTGGTTGAAGACCCTACGGAGCCTGCGATGGGGAAGAAGAAGAAGAGGAAGAAGAAGACGACGCAGGAGTCAGAAAAGCTATCAGGCGAGAATTGAATATCTTCCAGGTCGGCGGAGTAAATCTTGCAACACGTGTGGTATTTGGCTCAAGCAGCAACAGTGAGATACAATCAAATAATACATATTCCAAATGAAAAGAAAACCGAAAAGAAGAGGTCTGTGACATGGAAATCATATTGATTTAAATTTCCTGGTCCATTGACCACTCGACGTAAGTGGGATCGGATAGGAGTATGAGGGATGATCGGTGTTGACTCGAAATATATCGGAAGGTTGAAAGCTAGGGGTATTTGGCGCAGTAGGGGGAATCATTCACTTCAAGTCCATTTTATCCTGTGATCCGGGTGAACCATGAGATCACGGTGGACCAGAGGTCAGGGACAATTCGTAGGAGCTCTAGGAGAAGACCACCACAAACAACAAAAGCGAGTAACACTGGGGAAATATTCAGCATATGGTTCAATTCAACAGTGTGAAGGTAGATAAATACATACCAACCCAGCTGGCTGAAAGGGGCGACTTTGTGTTCTTCTTCGGTTTAATTGTGGTTGGCGCCTTCCCTCTCTTCGCAGCCTCGGTCTTTGCGAAGCGGTCATTTGCTCGGCGTTGCTGTGGTGTTTGTGCCTGGTATGTGTTAATCATCATCCATGGCAACCTTGGAAGATTGCAACCTTTTTTGTACTTACCATGATATGTGTTTGTATTAGAGGAAAGATTTGAGGGAGAAAGATGGATGGGGAAGGGATGATTCAAGACGTGTGAATATGCGAATATGCCGGCAAAAAAAAAGGCCACGTTTGTTTTTTTGGAGGAGACACGTTACTGTTGGGGGAAGACCACCCCTGAAATTAAATGATTTCAATCCCTAGGCTAATCGCCTTATAGATGAACAGAGTATATAGATTTGTACCTAGATTTTAACTCAATGGATTCGATATTATCCTCTCATCATCCTGATATCCTTTTTGAGTAAAAAAAAAAAGAAAAAGAAAGAAAAGGTATAAACAAACCTAGAAATAGAGAAGAAAAAAAGCTTAGTCTGGTCTAATTTAGTCCCTCCACAAGGTACATATACCCTTCTGCACTCCTTGAATAAAAGATTGGATAGCTCTTTTGCTGCTATAGGAGAAATTATATACGTCGATGTCCATATGTAGTTATATGAGGTGATGATCTATACGGGGAATCCGAAGGCGGTGTGAAAGGTTGGGAGAGCAGGGCGGTCATGGATGACATCAGTGGACGTTGTCGTCCTTTAGTCATCTTTTAGTCATCCTCTAGTCATCCTCTAGTCACCTGGGCAGGTAAAAGAGTCAACTACAAAAGGTTGGCCACTGGTTTATTAAACATAATTTTTCAACATAATTTATAATATCGCTCTACACTAATAATCAATATCCAATACCTATAGCTCTGTACATCAATGGGCCCGTTATCATTGAAGAAGTGGCTTCCACTCGATCTGCTCCCTGGCCGAGTCACTGAGGAGATCTGTAGAGCCCATACCAGCAGGTACATTAATCCCTGGACTATCCTGCCCTGATGGGTGTCGACCGCTAGGTGATACTGTCCCGAGTTTCGCCTGAGAACTTAGGGATAGTGGTTTGCGAGGAACAGCCGGTCGAATTTTCCCCGTTTCAACTGTCTGGGGTGATAGAGACTGCGTAGGTGACTCAAAAGTGTCGCGTCGCGGAGGTAGAATGGGCTTCTTCCTCATATCTTGAACAGGGTCGGTGTTTCTGTTCTTTATCGAGTCTGGAATTGGTACCCAATCGACATCTGCAGAAAATGGATTGGATTTCCGTTGGGGATTGGGAATATACCCTTGCTTTGGTGGCTGTACTGTAGCTTTTACTGGTGCACCTGTCATGCGTTAGCAAAACCGACCATGATCCACAGCCCGAAACACACTCACCATTATCTAGCCACCATCGGCTTCGGTCAGAGCTTGCCGGTGGTAGCCCCGGCGCGATAGAGATATGTGATGGAAGTTCGTCATCGTCAAAGTCCAAAAGAGAGACAGAGTCTGCAAGAGAACTGTGATCATGGCCCTGTTTCTCCCCGTATATTGATCGCCTGAGACTTTCTTTCAACGCATGATCGACTATATCAATGTCACAATCAAAGGTTGCCCAGACTGGGCGGTGGTCAGACACTTTCAAATCCGCAATTTGGTAGTTTGTTTGCCGCAGATTGCTTCCTCTCCATAGGATTCGGTCACACCATGCAGGGATCCGCGCTTTCTCACTACCATGGGTTAGTTATCTCCTGGTTAGATCCACGGGGGTAACTTACGATGTATCATAGTTGTCTCTTCCCACGTCGTACTTATAAGTCGGCGGAAACTCAATTGGGCCTTCTGAATAGAACCGGAACACCCTGCCCGCTACCATCTGTAGATTCAACTGTTGTTGTTAGACCAACATCAGGTAATACAAATTTATTTGACTTACTTGATCGTTGTCGTATAGTCTTTGGTAGTCTCGCTGTAGAATTAGCTCTCTTACGCTTGGGTTGTCCAATCCAATTCGATAGTTGAAATCGCCCAACCAGATCACTGAGTCGTGATCAGCGATTGTCCGGTTCTTTTGAAACCTCAACCCTCGGTCGATGATCTCGTAGTCTCTGTTTCTCTCATCATAGTTCGCAAACCCGGCAGCAAGATGGGCGGTAACGAAGCAAATGCTCGTGTTGGAGAAGTCGAAGCGAACAGCACAGCCACCCTTGTTGCCAGCAATCCCAGAGAGGCCAGTCTGTGAATACCCGTTAGTTGAAACAACCCCTTAGAAAATCCAGAATGACTTGCCTTCTTCACACTGCCTTCAACATTTTTGATGTACTTCAGTGAATCCTCTTTCACATAGAGCAAAACGGCAGCGCCAACTAGTTGGCCACTCCTCAGGTGCACGTATTTTCCAGTCCCCTTGATCTTTGAATGGCTGTTTAAACAATCGTAAACCGCTCTTTCCCAGACCTTGCGGGTACTGGGGTCGGTAGACATAATTTGTTGCGGACTCAGGGCGACGATTTCCTGGAATCCAACAACAAAGATTGCAGGATCTTCATCGGGCTCATCCGACTCCGGGAAAAGCCACGGAGTGAGATCGGTACCTGGGCCTTCATCACGTCCATTCACATTGAAAGTGCCCACCCAGAACCGGACTCGTTTGCGCGAAGAATATTCTGGACTTCGGCGGTTCAGTTCCTCCACCACCAAATCATTGATTGGATCGTAGAGGTATACAGGGAGTTGATTTGTTAATCTCCCCAGGAGAAGATCAATCGTCCGCTGTCTGGCTTTGTCTGTAAAATTGTTGACATAAAGTCGAGTGGCACTCTTCCGTGCGTCTGCAAGTGCCCCCGCAAGTGACATTTTTCCGTGTCGAGTGAAAGAGGATTTAAGAGCGCCAGTCCCGGCATATATTTTGGAAAGAGCATCACCATTGTCGGCCCAAATGGTCGAATGCCGAACCTGCATGTCCGAGCTGAGCCTGCCACCTTGCTGCGATAAAAAGGACTCCAAGGCCATCATACTGATTATGGTCTGGACGAGGTTTGTTCTGTCCAGGCAATCCAGGCAATTGGTCCGAAAAGCACCCTCTTGCTGTAAAATTATTGAAGAGTTGTTCGTTTCATCATCTTTGTCGTAGGGAGCTTTGTTGGGACGACGTGAATCTTCCGACAAAAAAAAGGAAAACTCATCTAACGAGTTAATAAGCTCGTGTTTGATCTGGGAGCTGGCCTCGTATCCCGAAGGACCTCGGGTCTCAGCAAGGAAATCATATTCGGTAATTCGCAAAAGGCTCCGACGTGGAGAAGTCCCATCGCCTTCTTTCTGTCGGGTGGAGCTCTTGTTGATGTGCTGTCGAAACTTGGACGACAACTCTGCTTCCCCGGGCTTCAGCTCACTTAGCAGATTCACCACATGTACTGCACCATACTCCATCTCCAGGGATTCAAAGTGCTTGTTGAATGCGTGCTGTGTTGCGTCGCTTGACCGCGTGACCTCGATCTTTTGCTGGCCCGGGATGAGGCCAGGAGCTTGTTCCCAGAAAATAGGCACCGAGCCTCGGACTTGTGCATATGAAAATACAATGCCCGGTGAAATCCACAAGACCGTCTCTGTTTCCACGAAATTGGCGACATTCCCATCATCATCAATGCCTCTCGAGTTAAACCTCGTACCAGCACGCCGAGAAGATTGCCGGGATATGATTGTCAACATGGAAGGGAAGTTCGTCCGCACATGAGGCAGAATTGAGACCGTTGCTGGTACTTTGAGTGTACTCGCAAATCCACGGATAACACAGGTTAACATCTGCGATTCATCTAATTTGGCCTTATCGGAAGGTGGCAAGTGACTCCGGAACAAGAGAAGCGGACTGATCATGTAAGAATTCCACAGCATATCTTCATCGAGAGTGTCTATGTCGAATGCCACAGGTTTGTTGGCCCTTGCAATATGGTTAGTTAAAAGAGATCGGCCAGTAAAGAGCAAGGAGCTAATTAGTAGCTTACCGGTTTTGTAGGCGATCTGTGAGGTTGAAATCGAGACTGTAATAGAAACTTCCATCTCCAAGGAGCTTCTTCAACGCCAGAAAAGGATGGTCAGTTACCACATCCTTCCCATCCGTGCTAAGTCCCTCTTCGGCGGCGAATTCAGACCCAGTCTCATGGTCTAGGCCGTATTCATATTCTGAACGATTGAGACAATCTAATATCATTAGCAAGAATTCGACATAGAAAAGGTTGCATAGGAAACATGAACGTACAGAAGCCTACGTTGTCAATTCTTGACACGGTTTCTCCAGGTCTCACGGTGGCAGCTTGCGAGGAGCTGGTGACGACACAGACAAACACATCTTCATTGAGAGTAACAAGGCCAAGGGTACCGTATCCATATCCTAATGGCCTATAGCCTTTCAGGTCCACTGCCTCTAAGTCCGCGAACTCAACTTGACAGCGTGGGCTATCCTTCGCACTGGTATCTGTTGATGTGTAGTGGAACACTAGGACATGTTCTGATGAGACCAGTGCAATTGTACGTTGAGGTTGATCTCGACAGAGAACCCGGAGATTCGACATGATGCGAGAGAAATCAGAATGTGGGGAGAAGCAGTGGCATTGCTTATTTTCCACATCAAATAGTTAAGGTTATTATCCTATGGGGTGATTTTTATATATCCCAAGAGAAGAATTACTTTCAAGAGCCCGGATCAAGCGAAGAAATACCTTCAAATTCAAAAACAATAAATAATCATATAAGAATTTATTGTCGAGCCCTGGAGTTGAGGTGGGAGTTGTCATCTTCTTCCCCCGTCGTCGGGAGGGACATCGGAGAGAGACCCCCGGGGCCTTATCGATTGCTTACTCATCCCGCGCCTTTCAACTTTTTTTTTCTTTTTTTTCCTTTTTAGTTTCTTCGTCGATCTCCAACAAACACTTCGTCTGATCCGAATATTGTCACTATGGGTTTAGCAGGGCCGCGGAAGTATGCAACTTTTAATCTACTCCTTTCATACATGAATTTTCTAACGCGTGAGTAGGAGTACCAAGATTGGCAATGATCCCAATAACACCAAATGGACCCGATCCACAACCGGGTTCGGACATCGGATCATGAGCGCTCAGGGTTGGACTCCTGGAAGTCTCCTAGGAGCGAAGGATGCCGCGCACGCCAACCACTTGACCGCCGCCAGTGCTTCCCATATCAAAGTCACCCTCAAGGACGATAATCTCGGATTGGGTGCTCGTATTGGACGAGAGAGTGAGCCGACTGGACTTGATGCCTTCAAAGGATTGCTTGGCCGACTCAATGGCAAGAGCGAAGTGGAATTGAAGAAGGATGAGCGAAAGCGCGATGACGTTCGATTGGCGCGATATGCTGCTCTGAGATTCCCGGAAGTCAGGTTCGTCAGCGGTGGACTGTTGGCCCAGGAAAAGGAAGCCGCAATTCCCCCGCCAACCCCTATGGATGCAACATCCAAGAAGTCCAAATCGGACAAGAAGGAAGCCACAAAGACCACAGAGGACGACGAAACCCCTTCAAGTGAATCAGATGTCCCAGCCCGCAAATCCAAATCCAAGTCCAAATCCAAATCCAAGTCCAAGTCCAAGTCCAAGAAATCGCGCCCTCGAGATGAAACCGACGACGAATCAAGCTCGGAATCAAAGAAGAAAAAGAAATCCAAGAAGAGAAAGGCTGAGTCCGAGCAGAGTGATTCTTCAGACAAGACATCTGAACCAGAAGTCAAGGTAGCATCAACAATATCCAGAGGAGCGGCGGCCTATGGGACGGAATGTCACTCGGTCACGCCATATCGCTCAGAAGAAGAGAGCTATTATGGATGACAAGTCTCTCAACGAGGTAAGCTATATAACTAGCAACTATTTTCCATGGTCAGTTGGCTAACATGAAGCAGATCTTCATGATCAAAGCATAGAATTTATGCACATCTGCATCTGAAGCGCATTGGACATAAAAACCTGGAGTTATTGGGTGTTTGCACTTTTTATGATTTTATCGTCTTGAACTAGATATATCCTACTATGAATTAAAGATAATTCGAATATTGAATATAGTATAAGAGGGATAATACTATGATACTCTGTACTCCGTACACCTCCAGGATATAGATGCCGAAACACATGGATTACCTAATCCGGTCTGTTTCCGGGTGCCCTTCCATCCAACGTCATATCTTTGAACAACTTAGTGTATGCCCCTAATCCTTGATTGTTTGGAATTCGGGGGTGTATAATCCTAACTCACACCCTAGGAAAAGTTGTACAGATCACTTACATCGAATCTTCGACCGAGAGCTCATTCCGAGGGTCCACTGCACCTCCAATAATCTGGGAAATCTACATGAGCTTTAGCATCCCACGGATTGTCACGACCCGAGCCAAGAAAGGGAGCTGTGCAGGTGTGCTGTCACTACAGAGGGTTGTTCCTCCCCCATCCAACAATGAACGGAGAGACTCGGTCAGCTGGACGTGCCTCGGCGTCTACCTCCCAGTCGAGTCGTGGAAGAAAACGGTAAGACACGTCCAACAACTCTTGAATCCACCCATAACTGACCCCATATAGCATCCACTGGGCGCCTTTGAATATTGGTCTTGAGAGACGTCTACAAACATTTGTGGTGCTATGCCACACTTTGACCATCGCTATATTCCTGACTAGCTTCTTCTTTACCTGCGCCATTCCGTTGTCCTGGCCACTCTTGGTCCCATATCTCGTCTACATATCTCTTTTCTCTACTGCTGCTACATCGGGCCGTCTCAAGGGACGTAGCCCATTCCTGCGCTCACTTCCTATTTGGAAAGTGTATGCATCTTACTTCCCCGCTTATCTTCACCGCGAGGAGTCGCTTCCGCCTACAAAGAAGTATATATTTGGATACCATCCACATGGTATTATCTCCCATGGCGCGTTCGCCGCGTTTGGAACGGAAGCTTTGGGCTTTTCCAAGCTTTTCCCAGGAATCACCAACACCCTGCTGACGCTGGATGCGAACTTCCGCATCCCTTTCTACCGAGAATACGCACTTGCCATGGGGCTGGCCAGTGTTTCCCGAGAGTCATGTGAGAATATCCTCACCAAAGGAGGTACAGATGGAGAGGGCATGGGCCGAGCAATCACGATAGTCGTGGGAGGCGCCCGGGAATCCCTCAACGCCCGGCCTAATTCCTTACGTCTCGTATTGAAGCGACGCAAAGGGTTCGTCAAGCTCGCGATTCGAACGGGGGCTGATTTGGTGCCTGTCTTGGCATTTGGTGAAAATGACCTCTATGATCAAGTAGACTCGGATCAGCACCCGATCATTCACAGGCTCCAGATGCTTGTAAAACAGACTTTGGGATTCACAATTCCCCTGTTCCATGCGCGCGGGGTTTTCAACTACGATGTCGGACTGATGCCCTATCGAACCCCTCTCAATATTGTGGTCGGACGACCGATTCCGGTCATGCAGCAGCCCAACCGCGACAAGATCGATGATCAGTACATTGATGAGCTCCATTCTCGATATGTGGAGGAGCTGATGCGGTTGTGGGATCAGTGGAAGGATGTTTATGCGAAAGACAGAGAAGGCGAGCTAGAGATCATCTCATGATAATACATCCACCTCTTATGTATACGGTTTAACCAGTCTACTACGACAACATGTGGAGCTTTTATGGACATATATTATACAGCATTCGGCAAAATAAGCCAGGAACAAAATCATACACTCGATATCCAGTATAGTTCGGATTAAATACACGCGCAAGAAAGTAAACCTATGAATTGGGTATCAGATCAAACAAAATCAAAGAGCTTCCGCAAAAGCATTTAAACGAAAAAAAAAAAAAAAAAAAAGATGAAGAAAAACAACGCTTTGAGGTTCTCATCCTCGGAATGGCGAGCTGAGGTTTGGATCCCATGAGGCAGCAGTTGGGTTTAGACTCGGCACCTCCGCTGATGAGGATACTCGTCGGCTTTCACTAGTAATACTCCTGTTCTTAGCATTGTGCCCACTTTCTGCTCGACCCTGGATCATTTCCTCCAGCATTCGTGAGACTTCGTCCATATTCTTCCCCGCATCCCCATCCCCCTTCTCACTTTCACCAGACAAGGGGCGCTTGTCTGGACTCTCGGATTGCGCAATGAAGCCATTGGTTCCTGCAAAACTGTCTGCATCCCCAGCACTGGACCCATTCTTGCTCTTCAGCTCTGGTGACTGCGAGTCATTGGTGACAGCAGCCAAGTCTCGATGCCGAGCTGCGGATCGAAGCGCAGCAAGCATGCGATCCTTATCATCGAGCTGCAACCGGAGTTCATTGATTTCCATATCTTTCTCGCGAACCAAAGTCGAGACATCTGGATGCTCGGCAATTGTGGGATTCGCGGGCTTAATGGCCCCTGACATTCGGGAATGACTGGACCGTCTTGCCTGAAGCAGCCGGCGCTCTAGGGTAGATATGTACCGGTTCTTATCACCGAGATCAGCCTGCAGCGCAGTGACCTGTCGTTGCAGGCTGGCTTTGCCATCGCCAAACTCACCAAGGTCATATTCGTCCTCGTTGCCAAACGAACCTCCTGGGTATGGCATAGCTGACGAGGGATCGTTGCTATTGACAGACATGAACGAGATGGGCCGGATCGATGAATGGCCGGCTCCCAGTGTAGATTGGCTGGCGGAAGAACGTAGTGACCGCGAACCCGAATCCGTTGTAGACATGCGGGAAAGACGCCCAAACGCAGAGAGGCTGTTATGGTTGTTCACACCGGTGGACTTGGAGCTCAAGATCAGGCGATTGAGATGCTCGATCCGCTCTTTGAGCGCAGTCCGAGCCAACTGCATTTCCAACACCTGTTCCTCGTGTCGGGCTTGTGCTTCCTTTTCATACTGCTGTTCGTCCCATTTGAGTTCCTTCTCCGCCTGGGATTTGGCCTGGGTGTCAAGCTGACCGCGAAGAGCCTGGATCTCCATGCGGTATCGCTCAAGTAGTACCCGACTTCCGGAATCACCACCGCCGCCCCCGTATGCCTCCTCGGCCTTTTTGGCATGACTGACAATATTATTCTTCGCCCGCGCAGCGAATTTCATGGTATTCAGAGTTTCACCGGTATGCGAATTGATAGCGCTCGTGAATTGAATGGTACACAGAATACTCACCAACGAGCCACCGGACAAGGCTGGTTGCAGGAGCCTGGTCAGTTTGCTGTCGCGGTAAGGCAAATGTCTCCCATCGCGGTCCGTGGGGTTGCCTTGCTTATCCTTGTTTTCCGAGAGCCGAGAGATGATGGTGCCCAGAGTGAGCAAGCTTTTGTTGATATGAGCTCCTTCTGTGCGGCGTTCCTTATCCTCAGCTGCACGTTCAGAGCCAGCCAGATCAATCAGACTCAAGGTTGACACCCGCACACCACCCGGGGCGATCCCGGAGCGCTTATCCTGAGAGCTGCCGGAGGGCACTCGCTCCCGACTCTCAACCACAATTTGAACCACCGCGTGACTTCGAGAACTGCGCGCATTGAACTGTGTGCTGCTCGTTCGTCGTGCATGGTCACCTCGGGCGATGACACGAAGTAGTTGTGTTGGACTCTGGACGATCTCTTCCTTGAGCGGCGTTGCATATACTCCTCGTTTGCTGTCCTCTCTCAATTTGATTTCCTCCTGCTGGGCTCCGGCGGGGGCGTTGGCAGCGGAAGCGGAAAGGAGGTCATTAATCTTCTCGTTGTAAATTTCCAGATAGCTGACCCGCAGCAAGAATTCCCGGTGTGGGGTTTCTCTGATAAAGGAAAAGATATCGGTGATCGCGAGCGGGATTACTCCGGGGGAAGTTGCTGTTCCCTGCATAGAAAAAGTCTTTCCGGTTCCCGTCATGCCATATGCAAAGACCGTTCCATGATAACCCTCCATGACACGCCGAACGAGACGTTTAGCAGCCGAATCATAAACTTTGGCGTTGTTTTCTTGTGGATTAAAGACATTATCTGTGCAAGGGTTAGTTACGTGGGCAAGTGAGTGGAAGACGATATCAGTATCATTCTCACCATAAAAGTAATCGCCTCCTTCTTTCCCACGGTATGAGATGAGGCTTTGCCGGCTATCGACGGACCATTCGCCATGATTTCGGGGAGTCTCTCCACCACTGTTGTTGTCGGGACGAACACGCACGCTGACAAGTACATTGCCTTTGAGCTCCTTTGGCTTCGAGCTAGATTTTCCCGTCGCATCATCTGCGTCCTCAAACGTCGTCGCACTCGTTGAGCAAGAACCCTGGGCGGAAGAACTTCTACTGTGGGTTGGAGACGTCTCTGGGTCTCGCGCATCTCCACTTGATATGAATTTCCCCTCCCCACTACCGTTGAGTAATGATGGAGTTTTCGAGCTTCGATAGCTACTCGTGGTTCCTGTGCTCAGTCGTGAGCTTCTTTGAGGTCGCACACTAGAAGTAGCACCCTGGATGCCAGAGAGCGATGATGCAGTGGATGGACGGCTGCTGGCCTTTGGTGGTTGAGGGAATGAGGCGATACTGATTGTTCGGCGCAAAGATTTGTCGGGACTACCGGGAGTGCGCCCCCCGGAAGCTGACCGGGTGGAATTTAAGTTGGAGGTTGAGTTTGAAGTTGATAGAGGGGACTTGAGGGATAGTTTGGGGCTGGATGGGGTCCGTAGTTTGGAGGTTTGGTAGGGGGATGCGGCCCGTGGCGTGTCGGAACCCGTGGATTTTCTGGGTTTAGGGTTGGGGAGAGGTAATGATCCAGCTGGTGGATTTGGAACTGGTCGCGACAGCGACTGTGGTATTGTTGACATTGAGGCCATGGCGACTTTGTATCTCTTAATGAGATGGGAAATAGATTTAAAAAGTGAACGCGATGGCCATGCGGGCGGATTGAGAGCCTGTATCATTTTTCATCCCCCCAAGTTAGCCAAATGAGACATGAGGATTAGGACCCTTGACTGGGACCTGATAAAATGATTCCACTCTTTGCTTTTTTTTTTTTTTTTTTTTCGCCCGTTGGAGATCAAAATGTAGTAGACAATAACACGGGATGTTATGATCTCGGGTACTCACAGATTCAAACGCGCAATGTTGCAATGTTGCAATGACCGAATGGGATGACAACCTCCAGGTAAAGATAAGAGTAGAAAGGTAAGAAGAGAGAGAGAGAGGGAGGGAGAGAGGGAGACAGAGAGACAGAGAGGAGAGGAGAGGCAAAGATAGAGAGAGACGTAAAGAGTAAAGACGCGAAGAGAGGGAAAAAACGTATCATCTAATCCCCGCAGAGAGGTTGGGGCCAGACTTATTTTATTTCACTTACTCCGTAGTTATAACTAGTTAGTTAGTTATAGTTAGTTACTTATATATAGTTAGTTATATACTTATATATATAGTTATAGGTATAATGCCTATATAGGTATATTCCTACTCTACTCCTCCTCCCCTCCTCTCTCCTCCTCTTCCCCTCTTCTCTCCTTCTGTTAATCCCCCTACGCTGGCTATACCCTATACAAAGTAGAACCAAAGTATAAAAAAGAAAGGGGGAAAAGATTAAACTAAACAACACCTTCAACATAAATGGCAGGGGAAATTCCCTGGGAAGCTCGGGGCATCTTTCAATAATGATAGGCTTAAAGTGGAGGTTTCAGGCTTGGGAAAAGGAAAAAGGGGGCGAATGAGATGTTGAAGTCTGCACTTCTTTTTTTTTTTAGGTGGAGCCCAATCTGATTATTTTAAATCTTCAAGGTAAAGTAAGTCTGTTGTAAGTGTAGACGATGTTGTGAGAATCCCTTAAGGGTTGAAGGAGTATAGGGACCATATAAGTCGAGGTAACTCTCTCCCCTATAAAGGTGAAGCTTGGGATGAACTCCTGTTCGAGAGATACCTACAACATATGTTGTAGGTAACGGCTATTGTTCGAATGCAGCAAAGATTGACATCGAAGCCCAAAAAAAATTAAAATTAGTCGTTGATCCTCATTTACGTCCCGTATGCCGTGATATAACTACCTCTATACCTCTATACCTCTATACCTCTATACCTCTATACCTCTATACATACATCTATAGATCTATAGCATACAAACTAAAAACCACAAAATATAGAAAGTATAGAGACCCAAACTATGAATTTGTCATTTGGAGAACCTCAATTTCTTTTTTAAATTTCTCCAAATTAGAAGCGAGGAATATACCTAGGGCATGCAAGGGAGTTTATATCTTTTTATATGGCTTGTACGGAGTAGTTAGTCCTAACTCAATTGAACAGTGAGAACAGTGCAACATGACAGGGTGATCGTGGGGAGAATTCTCTCTCCACTTAAAGCTGTCATTAACTCTTGACTCGATGCCAATACCATGTATAACTATCGAGTGTCTCGACTAAGGGTTGGCATGGCACTAATAATACCATTACTACCATGCTCCTTTGTTCTTTGTTCTTTGTTCTATATTGTATATTGTATTTTCTCTTGATTGTGTCATTATTTCATACCAAAGTCCAGTTGCCGGGCAGCGCTCTTAAACATGCCCTCATCCACCTCGCCACCACGTCGCGTCAAATCATCGCCCATCTTTTTAGTCCCACCAGATTTCCGGGGGAGATCCTCATTCTGGGTCGGACGGGGCTCAATCGTCCACCAGTTGTGTCGTAAACACTGGACAGCCGTACTGCGCTTGCGTGGATCAAGCGCACACATCGACATCAGCAGATCGGCGCCCACTGGACCTGCAGTGGGGAACTGTCGCATGAAGAAATCACGCCCTTGCAACGGCACCAAATGGGCCTTGTCGGTAGCAATGTAATAGGGCAGCTTGCTGACCCCGGGCCAATTCTCCTCCGTTGGTGTGCCGAACGCTTCGCATATTTTGGAGGTTTGGTCCAGGTCGGTGTTGCCCGCCACAAATGGAACCCGGATCAGGAGCTCGGCAAACACCATCCCCATGGACCAAACATCCACCGCCCCGGAGTATTGGCGCGCACCGTAGAGAAGCTCGGGTGGTCGATACCACCGAGTGATGACCTGATGGGTCATGTTAAACAAGGGATCGGCGAACGATCTGGCGAGACCGAAATCGGCCAATTTGACCTCCCCATCGGCCGCGATCAACAAGTTGTTCGGTTTGATATCCCGGTGAAGAACAAAATTCTCATGGCACCACCATACACCCCGGGCAAGCATCCCCATCCAAGCTTTGATATCAGCCACACCATAGTGGATATCATTATCTTTGATGAGCATCTCAAGATCTCCACCGGGAAGAAACTCAAGAACCAAGCTCAGATTTTGATCCTTGGAAGAGAAAACATCGTGGAGCGCAATGACGTTGGGATGTTTCAGCTCTTGAAGGTACTTCACTTCACGAACCGCATCCATAGCAAGTCCATCTTTGTATTCGGCATTGACTTTGATCTTCTTGATCGCAACGAGGGATGATGGATCGTGTCGGAGGTGGCCAACATATACCACGGCGTATGTACCTTCTCCTACTTTCTTGTCTGGTCCTCTGTCAGTATACCGGTCCGCAGAAAAAACAACAATATAACAGACGTTCTCAAATACCTTTGACGTATCGTTCCCGGACATCAATATTCAACTGTTCGGTGAGCTCGCGATCCCCACTCTGTACAGGCTTTGACACAGCTGCAGATGCCGGTCCAGTCAGTGAGTTCTGTGCAGCAGTGGCTCTCAGTCTGATTGCTGTATTGGGAGAATGCACGGTCATGGATGGCGAACGAGAGCCAAAAGGTGAGAGTGCCATGATTAGAGTGGTTTGAAGCAAAAGGTCAAACCTTAGGGAGTGACAAGAAATTAAAAAGAAAAAGAAAAAGACAGCCACATATAATTTGGTGGCCACTGTAAATATTAAGAGATCATTTTTAGCATATCCTTTTTGAGGTGAAGGCCGTAAGTGTCGAAATATGAGGGTCGATGTCATTTCCCCCAAGATAGGCCCGGAATATTGTTGATCCTGGACTTTGCTGGCGACTCCCGAAATTTCTCCAAGTCAGTCAACAGTGACCCCCCGGCCAATTCCTCGGCAACTGCTGGAAACCTGTCAATTTCAAAGGCATTGCTCAACGGTTCCACTCATCGATAACACTACAAATCCAATTTTCCCAGGGAGAAAAAACCACGAGAGTTACTAGCAAAGTCGGGGCGTGTGGCATCCTACCCGCAAACACCTTCACCATGAGCCTCATGGCAATGCGCAATTCACCGCTTGGCAGCTTGACAGCACGCCTTTTCAAGCCTGTGTCAGTTTCCAACCAATACATCCGATCACTCCACAAGAACGCGCCCCCACCCGTGCCATCTCCGACCCCTTTCGTTCCTGATGTCCAGACTTTCCTCACGCTGATTGGCCGTGAAATGTCCAAGCAAGCGAGCAAAATTCCCTCATGGGAAGAACTTTTCACCTTAAACTCCAACCAGCTCCGCCAAGCCGGCATTGAGCCAGCCCGCCAGCGACGGTACCTGATCCGGAAGCGCGAGAAATTCAGGAACGGACTGTACGGCCCTGGAGGTGACCTGGAGACTGTGGTTGATGGGGTTGCACAATTGCGGGTTGTTGAAGTGCCTCTTAATGCCAGAGGCCTCACACAACAAGCTGCCGTTCAAACTTCTTCCGCTACACTGTCACCTGGCATGGTGAAAGCCATTGTCAACCTGGCACCTGATGTCACTACTTATCAGTATGGCAAAAAACAACTGGTCAAGAAATTTGCGCACATGAAGATTCACCGTGGCTGCCAGCCCATGGGTCCGTTCCTTCAGCCTTTGAAGGGTTCCAATGGCACTGCTGCTACTATTTCGGTTCAGGAGGGCATGTGGGAGGACAAACGGGGACAGAAGGTTGATGGTGGTGAACGACGACGCCGGGAGGTTCAGAACAAGAAGAGGCTGGATGAGAGAAAGAAGGCGTGAATGTGAGCGGTGAAATACCACTTTTGTGTATCTTGCATATTTCTTGTTGAGCCTGGATGTTCGAATTTGAACTGTACTATATACTTACTATTGCCATACTATTGCAATCATGATTTCCTTTTTTTTTAATTCACATTCTTTTACTTCTTCGAGATAAGTGAAGTGTTCTTATATCCGATTAAAATAATATGATTGAGCTATGGAAACATTTGGAGAAGCATGCGATTCAAAGTCGCAAGAGAAGTAGATATTCATACAGTGAAATCGTTTCAAAGTGAAGAAAGAGGGAAATCCATGATGCAAGAGCGGTCAAATCCACTTGGTGAACTGGTCTGAAGTTCATGTCTGAATCTTTGCTGTATCAATGCCGGGCATTAAAATGGGATCAAAATTTGAATGGGAATCTTTTCTAAAAATGAAGATAAAAATAAAAACGTAACTCCGATCATGCCTTGACTCCACGTCTCTCGTACTGAACAAATGATGTACCCAGAGGCTTAGAGAAGAGGGACTATAATATGGTTAGTCAAACGCCAAGTTGATCGCAATAGAGCATCACTTACCGAATAATCTGTCTCGGGGAAAGGTATATCGGCGCTAGGCTGGGAGAACTTGAAGTGTCTCACCAGGGCAGCCAAGATTGTGCCCAGCTGCACATAGGCGAACTGCTCACCAATGCAGCGATGGCGACCAGCACCGAAAGGCAGATAGGGACTGTTGGTGCCCTTGGTAACCAGTCCATAACCATAGTCGATCTGCTCCTCTTCCTCCTTGGTAGTCTCGGTTTCAGCCTCATCCCAGCGGTGGGGGTTCCACTTCAGGGGCTCGGGGAAGAACTCCGGAGAGCGAGCAGTAACACCGGGAGAAGAGAGGACATTGTGAGTGGTAGGGATAACGTAAGAAGTACCTTCCACAGGCATGGGGTTCTTGACAGCACGAATTATCGAGTGGATAGGAGCGTGGATACGGAGGGTTTCCTTGATCACCTTGGCGTGCAAGTCGAGCTTCTGAAGTCCTTCGTGGGTGAGAGGAGGCAGGTCGGATCCCAGAATCTGGAGTTGCTCTTGGTAAAGCTCCTCCACAATCTCAGGACAGGTGGCCAGACGTAGAACAATCCAGGCAGCAGTGGAGGATGAAGAGTGCTGACCTGCCATAAGCAACGCAATCATCATGTGGGCAATTTCCTCGTCGGGAATCGGGGTGCCATTCTTGTAAGTGCACGACATCAAGTTCCAGACCATATCCTCGGAGTCCTTCTTATCACCCGATGCGCGGCGCGCCTTGATGATATCCAGGTAGGTCTCAGTCATCTTCTTCTGTGCAGCATCGCGCTTGCGGTTGTGGGGGGAGCGGGGCCCATGGCAGCATGAAGTTGATGGGAGCGAAACCCTTATCGAGGTCGTGGTACATTTCCGCAAAGGTCGAGTCGAATCGATCACGGACTTCCTGTCCTTGTAACGAGCGGGATGCTGTGTAGATTGTGATTTCGGCAATGACCTTGGAAACGTTGAAAGTACCCTTGGGGTCCTGGAGAGCGGGGGAATTCTTCACGAAGTCGTCGACCTCATTGGTGATCAAGTGAACATAAGACCGAAGTGCTTCGGAAGTAAGACCAAATTTGACAAACTATGCATCGGTCAGCAGCCGGGCTTTGTGTTTGGAAAATCCATTCCTTCGTACCTTCTTCTGCTCCATGAGCTTAGCATTAGGGCAATCGTAGACGACGTGACGACCGAAGACGGGGGTAGTGAGGGGGGAGTAAACCTCTTCGGCATTCACATCACGAAGCTTGCCATTGAGGATGAACTCGTTGCCCTTGGTGCCTAGGTAGACGGTGGTCTTCTTGCCGAGGAGGACGAAAGTGAAGATGTCACCATACTGCCAGCGATTAACCACCAAATTAGCAATTGAATCCTGCCGTGGGCCAACCAGCCATCTACGATCGACATACCTTTGCGCGACTCTGGTTGAAGAAGGTGTATGGGTCCATGCCATAACTGATGGTACTTCCAACAAAGGGGAACCAGTGGAAGACCACGGGGGGCTCATGGGCTTTCTTGAAGAAGAGCTGGCGCAACACATTGATCACGATTGATAGCGCAATGAATGAGAGTGCTCCGACACCAGCCAAAGTGTAGTTGGACTGGGTTGAGCAATGCTCGCAGAAGGTTGCGAGGAAACTTGCGAAAAGGCCCATGTTGGTCCCGAAGCAAAAAGGAGAGAGGTGAAAGAAGAAAAAGAAAGAGCGAAAAAGAGAAAACGGGACTCACAATGACCCTATACCCCTATTTGTGAAGCCTCCAATTGAATTCCAAAGAGAGAGAGAGGGAGGGGGAAGAGAAGTAGAATGAAGATCCAGGAGGCGAAGGAGCCGAGGAAAATAATTAAGTTGGATCTCATTCGGCGAGCGAGACCCGCCCTTTTATGGAGTTGTGCCTGGGCATCTCATCTCCCTATAACTAACTAGTTAACCCTATAACTAGTTATAGTTATACAACATACTGTAATGGTCTAGAATAGATGGGCCATTTAATTGCATATCGTAAGTTCTTTTATTACTGTATTATATTATTATTATTATATGTATTGTATACCGAACTAATAGTTGTATATCACGCCACTCCGGTCAAGGGATTCCCGTAGATGGACGTAGATGGACTAGTTACTAGTTATGTTGAGTACTAGTACATGTCTCATTCCCTGTTTTAACCTAATAATACATACAATCCCCGGTTGAACACCCTGATAATGATATTTCCACACGCAAGAGTCAATAAGAATAACCAAAAAAAAGTCGTACAAAGCCACAATACCCCTTAGTTGTCGTACAAGGTGGGATCACCACGCTCCCCAATGTTAATGAAATCTTTCGGGTCCCGGTTACCACTTGGTGAGACTTCACGGTGGGAAGCCTTGGCTGGTCGGTTGTGGACACGCTTCCCGGCTTCATTTCGAAATACTTTGACCGGTTTCTCACTGCCTTCGGCGTGCTCGCTGAAATGAGCATGGTTGATGCTGCTCAACAAGGTTCGCTCCCGTTGAAACTTGCGCTTAGAAAAGTCCAGTCTACCAAGAGCGCCCGTCAGATTATCTGTGCTGTCAGTGACATTCGGGTACTGTCCGGTCATCCAGGGGTGCTCGAGACACTCATCCACCGTGATTCTCTTGTCGACATCCACGGTAAGCATCCGGTCGATTAAGTCCAGAGCGGGGTCGCCAACAGAGTCCCAATATGGTGACGGGTAGTCAAACCTGCCCATCTTAATCTGTTGGGCGAGAGTCAATGGGTTCTCTGGAGTGTTGAGTTCATCCGAGAATGGTGGGAAGCCACAGAGGCAGATGTAGAGAACAACACCAAGGGACCAGACATCCACAGCCTTGGTGTATTTTCGGTGGTGACTATCTTGCAAAATCTCCGGGGCAACGTCTGCGAAATTAGTACCAATATCCAAGGTTTCGAGGTCCTATACTTTGTGACTTACAGCTTGGTGTACCACAGCTGGAAGCAAATGTTAGCCATCGTTCACATGGACATGGACAAGCTTTCACCTACAGGGTTGTCGTGAAAGATTCTTCCCCAATGATTTTAGCCAGGCCAAAGTCACCCAATTTCACGTTCAAATTTCGGTCTGCAACCAGGATGTTTTCCGGCTTGATATCTCGATGCACAATTCCCCGTTCGTGCTGATGACACATTAACTGGGCCAGTACTGTATATGTGGACTTTGGATATACGTACCAGATATTTCAACCCGTCAAACAGTTGGCGGAACACACCGCGAGTTTCATCCTCGGTCATTTTCTTATTGTTCACAATCCAGTTAAACAGTTCTCCCTCGGGTGCCAATTCGAGTACCAAATAAGCGCCATCACTTTCATCGAAAGATTCCTTGAGACAAAGTAGATTTGGGTGATGAACGCCCATCAACAACGCAATCTCTTGTTGCAGTGCATTGTCGTTCTGTGACTTTTGAGAGTCACTGAGGCGCCTTTCGAAAACCTTGACTGCATACTTGTCTCCGGTAGATCGTTCAGCACACAGATAAACGGTTGCAAAGTGGCCTTTTCCGAGTTGGTTGAGAATCCGGTATTGCTGACGGAAACCATTCGTTTCCCGCGTACGAGGGTAGCGGAAGACAAAACGGGCTTCGTTTAGAATCGAAACTTCATCGCCATCCTCCAGTTCTCGGTGCTTGTTACGCCCAACAATGGCATCATTAACAAATGTTCCATTACTAGAGAGATCCTCCAGCACAGCAACCATGTCGCCTTTCTTCTTTTCGGCAAAAATGAGGAAGTGTCGGTTTGAAATTGTGGGAATTTCAAGGACGCGATCTGACTATGGTCAGAATAGACACTTGACAACCACCAAGCTATTTACTTACCACACTCAGGATGACGGCCGACCAAGAAACCACCTGGTGACTTGGCGCTCTTGGATTTTTGGGCCTTTTTCCCCTTGGCTTTGGCAGTATCATCGTCGCGTTTCCTCAACACAAGTGGGCCATTCCCGTTCTCATCCAGTGGTAGCAGGTAGCCCCAGACCCCTTCGGCGTCCTCATCCTTTACATCGTCCGCGAATGCTCTGGGTGGATACAAGAACTGTGAAAGCGCCTGGGTATCCTCCAATGCTGGCTGCGAGGAAGTCGCGTGCGACAATTCCGGTTGGGACGATATTTGTTGATGGCTATCGCGCGGGCTTTCCGGGGGTGTGACAGTCAGTTCGTTCCGGGTCTCGGTGGCGACAGATTGAGGGCCGGTGACTGGGGTTGGCAAGTAGTCCAAATCGACTGGTGTGTCTTGTGGTTGAACTAAACTCGAGATTCTTTGAGAGCGTCGAGGTTTCTTTTGCGAATCTTCATCGACGGTAGCCTATAATAACCCTTGTAAGGAAATGAATGGGGCCAAAAGAAGTGAAACGTACCCTTCCTCGCTTGAGCGAGCTTTTCTCACAGGGGGGCCATAATATAGGCTGGTATCACCCTGACTGGAGAGGGTTCCAGACCAATTAGCGATAATTGCCGGTCAGTTCAACAATGGTAGGAATGTCAATAAAAGACGTATTTCAATTCTGCACTAAAGAAAATACACAGAAGATAGAGAAAAGAAGAAGTAATGAAGAAAGATATGTGGTGAATAAGTCTATAGCTTGTTCGAGGGAGGGGAGAAGAGTCTGGAGAAAGCTCTCTTCCCCTGTGGCTCTCTCTCCGCCTCAAAATAGGAGGGAAGGAACGATCTATGTTTACATATATATACATACAGCATAACTATATATATATATAATATATAAATAGTAATATAATTTATATTCCAAAGCTATTTGATTTTGTAAATATAGTATAAGATAATATAATATAGTATAGTACAAATAGTATACTTCATGACAACAAATAAAAGATGTTCGGACCCGTAAGCTTCGCGTTTCACACGTGCTATATCCCCTGACCTCATTCTCCAGGTTTCCCCCAATTCCCCCCAACCTTAGGCCCTCTAGGTTCTTCACAATGGACGGGTATGTGGGATCATTCAATGGTTGAGGATCATGCTAATAGATAATCAAAGTCTATCTGGTGGAATTAGAGGTTTCGCTTTCCAAAAGCTCGCTGCGTTGGCAGTTGAGGCACCTGCCAATGGATCGGAGCTCACTCGCCTCGCAGAGCAGTCTCGACCAACTTCCGAGACTGATGGTGCTTTGAATGGGGTCTTGAAGCAACAGGCCCCAACATCCCAGGTTCCAATGGTGTGTCTCTTTATTGCTTCCGACCACCCGGTAGCGTAGTGGGTGCGGGCTAACGTTCGGACAGGGAATCCGGGAACTAGATGTCCTTCTGGCCCTATGTAAAGCGGCCTCGTCGGTGAACGATTCAGAAAATGCTGCTCAGTTGGCATTACAACTATCTCGATACTTGCCGGAATCACATAGCCAGCTATTTCGGTCTTCGCCCTTCCTCCATGGTGTAAAGCCGTCGCCTTGGGAAACGCTCACGAACAACCTAGCTCTCGCGCTCTTGTCGTTGGGAACTAAGTATCCAGACCTGCGACAGACGGCCATCGATGCTGTCCACGGATATTTGAACAACTGCGCCGAGGCTATCAATGCGGTCACACCTTTCCAATACTCTAAACCCGAGGCGGGGCGACAGGGTGTTATACATGAATCTGTTACTGTACTGTCAATCGCCGTTTCCCTGGTTGGGTTTATGGAAGCCTCCGCGGAATACACCTTAATCTGGCACGCGAGCGAAAAGCTACAGATTGTCGATCATCTGCGTGCGATGCTGTCCGAGCATTTCCTAATCGCAGTTGAGACGGCTTCGTCCACTCTCCGCAATGCAAACGTCGCGGACCATACTTTCAAGGACTGGAGAAAGTATACCCGTCGTTATGCTGCTCATGGTCGCCCATTAGGTGCTATGCTTGTGCAAGAAGGCTATATGCGCTTCGTGAAATCATGCGCAGCCTCTCTGATCGGGTTCCAGCACCTGAACGATGAGCAGCTCTTGGATGACTACATGACTGGGGTTGGTATTGCCAAGAGCCATGACGAGGCGGATGTCTCTCTGGTCGAGCGTGTTACGGATATCATTAGTGAGGAAATTCACTTGCTGGAGGATGGTTCTGACTACCTGCAAGTCGGGTCTCCTTGGCAGCAGCACCTTGCCTTCTCGGTTAAGGGACATGCCTTGATAGGCTTCCTTAACTGCGTGATTCTTGGTGAAGATGCAACCAACAACGAAGTACTGCTATCCTGGCTCGAGGACACATTGCTTGACTCCCAGCAAATGTCAAACGTGGAGCTGTCTGTGACAGTTTTGAAGTGTACCGCCATCCTTGCAAGAATGTCTCCAAATGGTGCCTCCGTTGGTAGACGTTGCCTTCTGAAATTCTTGACCCAGGGAGGTGTGTCGGCTCGCTCTACCGTTGCCGTCGCTTGTCGGTGCCTCGCCCAGATCCTGACTATTCTTTCCGAGGACGCTGTGATTACCACCCTTTATTCACTTGGTAATGCGTTAAGCCCAAGCACGAACGTAGATCAATCTAGCCAAGACCAACTCGTTGGGGATCATACCGGGCCAGGGATGAACCTCGAGGCATACCCCAAGAATGCAAGCCAGACTTCGCTCTCGGGAAATGGCGAAGATGATGCTATCACCTACAGGAATGTCATTCATGCCATCGTGACAGTCGCGACTACTTGCCATGATGACAAAATCAGTGCATTGGCCCAGTCTATGCTTCTCCAAAAGATTGGTAAGATCAATGTCGCAGTCGATGCCTTTATCATCCAGGAAACTGCCGTTCTTGCTTTGAGCGGTGGACAAGCCGAGTTCCAGCTTCTATTGAAGTTCTATGCACGTATCTACCTCGACGGCGTCAACAAAGGCCTGAACGCCATATCTGATGCTGTTCAATGTGCCATGGCTTACCTCTCGATTACTTTGGATCGAACATCACTACTCCACAGGATTTATTTGGTTCATTTGTTGGAAAGCATTATCAACAAAGGTGATGTACCAGATTTTGAGTATGAGCGACACAAGGAGATTATTTTTGCCGCGGATGATATCACACCCCTCTTGAAACCGCTAGCTCTGCTCGTGTCTTCCAAATGCAGTTCTACCACCGCTTCCGGGTCAGCGTGGGACTATGATGAAGCCATTCTGACTTTGTTCCGAGATGCTTGGTTCAATATTGCCATTCATGGAATATCTCTCACCTCCAGCGTTGCCCAACGGTATTACAAGGAACTCCGCCTTCTTGCACATCATTCTCCCCCTTTGGTTGCTGAGAACCACATGGATTCTCTGGAGAGCGACGTGGAATTGAATACGGTACTCAGACGCGGGATGGGACCGCAGCGAGGTACAGAGCAGAAGAGAGCTTTAATTTCTGAACTCCCTGGCCGAGAATCTGATATTAAGAAATTGGACTATTCAAGAGCAGTGTTTCTTAACGCTGTAGTCTTGGTCGAAAGCCTCCGTGCCTCCTCCGGGGACTCTACCAAGACGCTCAGTTATTTCCTCGACCCAGCCTTGGCCACTCCGGAGATGGTTGTGTGCATGAATGCTGTTGCAGACAAAGCGGTTGCCTGCTATCTGTCTCTTACACTTTCCTCTGAGCACGATGACTTTTCGACCCCTTACCTGTCTAAGCAGCTTGCCGGATTCCTGGTGGCTTGCTGTCATCGTATTGAAAGGGTTCAAAGTATTGCGACGCAGTGTGCCGACAGAATCATTCGTGAATGCCCTTCTGCCTTGTGTGAAAAGAATTCCCTCTTTGCTTTGCTCGAGATTCTTACCGTCATGTGGTCTTCCTGTCTTCAAGGAGAACTCGATGAGTTCGAGTGGAAGCCATCCTTGGTGTCGCCCATGGGCATTGTCAAGGTCGAATTGCCCGACAACTACGCGCTGAGAAGGGCGACTCTAAATCGGTTCCATGAACGAGCCAGGACCTGGGTGACAACTGTCCTGAACATTGCCCCATTGGATGTCAAAGGGTTACTTCAGACCTATCTTTCCGAATATGACGACGACGGTGGCTACGGACACATTTCGCTAGGACGTTCATTCGCTCTCGAGATGGGCTCCTTTGTCCCACAAAGTGACCCACGACTTGGATCGATTAATGGCTATGGAAGCAGCGACTTCAATGTCGCATCTGATTTCATGGCACTATACACGACACGCCAGAAGTACCGGCGTCCAGAGGTACCTTCTCTCGGCAGTTTAAACAGAGATAACTGTAGCGGTTATGTTGAACAGCCTCGTGTTAATATTTTGCCGGAGTCTGCTGATTCTTTGGAAAGTACTCTCTCTCGTCTATATGGAAGAAGCATTGCTGGCGAGGAGATTCCCCTGGTGGAGGTCAGGGATGTCCTTCGGCAAGCTGCGGGACTTATCTGCAGCACCAGCAAGCCACGACTCTCCGTGGTTCACTACTTGGTTGCATTGCCTTTCCAGATCTTCACCAAGGAGACCGTCAAGCTTGGTGTCTCGCTCTGGCTTGGAGTCATCCACGAGAACCCAAACACTGAGCCACGGATCCTATGTGAGGTAATTGAGGCTTGGGAAAGAAGCATAAAGCGTCGCAAAGGATTGTTCGATCCTACTTTTGAATACCTTGATCCACTGCATACTAAGATTGAACTTTTGCCAACTGATAAAGATCTTATGCTTCGCATGCAGCAAAAAGCTCAAGATACCCTCTCACCGCACTTACGAGTTCTTCATTTCTTCGAGAGCCACTTCAACGCTATCCGTCTAGGAAATCTGCAAGACCAACAGCTGTTTTGTCGCTTGATTGGCAGTACCGTTATCGGACTCTCAAAGACCGAGGGCCATCCATTGGCGCGAGAAATCCATTTCCGCATTGTGCTCCTGGGTCTCAGGATTCTGAGGCATCTCAGCCCCCGGAACAGTGGTGCATCTTGGAAACTCAAAGACCAGATTCTGTCTGCCGCTTTGAGTTGGTTTAGGCACCCTCCAAGATGGTCATTTGGAGGCAATCGGCTGCAGATTAAGGCAGAGGACAGAGTCCTTAGCGAGGTGACCGCAGCTTTACGAGGCGTTGCAGGTATCGCTGCCAATGCGCAAGGGTCATATAAGTCTTTGCAAGCCAAAGAAGACCTGCTTCAAATCCTCGTGGAGAACGAACGATCCCGCCTTCGAGTCTGGCTCTTCCCCCTAGATCCGGAGCGAAAGCACCACATACCCTCGATTGGAGGCAAGAATCCCGATGAAGGCCCCGTATCTTTACTTCGGCTTGCCTGGGCGGAAAATGCAGGGTTGGCTATTCAGATGGCTGCCCGATTCCCCTCGCCCAAAATGCAGGCTGATGTTCGATCATTGATACTCAATTTCCCCGAGAAGGTCATTGAGGAGCCAAGCGCTCTGGAGATTATGTTTGACAACTGCCTGCCCGCTGATGTCGGTTCCCAGTTGAAATACATGCTATACTGGGCCCCTGTTACTCCCACAGAGGCTATCACATACTTCATGCCTGCTTACGGCAACCATCCTTATATCTTGCAGTACGCCATGCGGGCGTTAGAGAGCTATTCGATGGATGTTCGCTTCTACTTTGTGCCACAACTGATTCAGGCCCTGCGCTTCGATGCTCTGGGTTATGTAGACCGCTACATCCTCGAAACAGCCAAATTGTCTCAATTGTTTGCCCACCAGGTTATTTGGAACATGAAGGCAAACTCCTTCAAGGATGAGGACTCTCAAATTGTAAGTATTGATGTTGTCGAAACTTGACCATCGTTGGCTAACATCCTGCGTTAACAGCCGGACCCTATCAAAGATACACTCGACCGTTTCCTAGATAACTTGATCTCAAGCTTCTCGGATGAGGAGCGTGCCTTCTACGAGAGAGAATTTTCGTTCTTCAATGAAGTGACGGGTGTCTCCGGCAAACTTCGCCCCTATATCAAGAGGAGTAAGCCCGAGAAGAAGGAGAAGATTGAGGAAGAGTTGCGTAAGATCAAGGTGGAAGTTGGAGTGTACCTTCCCAGCAACCCCGATGGTGTAGTCGTTGGCATCGACCGCAAGTCTGGCAAGCCCTTGCAAAGTCACGCAAAGGCGCCTTATATGGCGACGTTCCGAATCCAGAAGACAAGGCCACGATTGATCGAAAAGGCCGAGGCCAATACAGGTGATCACCACCACCACCAACGCCAATTGACCAATCATTCCGAGCCTGAGCAGGAAACATATGAAGTTTGGCAGTCAGCTATCTTCAAGGTCGGTGACGATTGTCGTCAGGACATGCTCGCCCTGCAGATGATTGCGGCCTTCAGGAGCATCTTCACCAGTATTGGTCTAGATGTTTGGGTCTACCCTTACCGGGTGACTTCGACAGCGCCTGGCTGTGGTGTAATTGATGTGCTTCCCAACTCCATTTCTCGCGACATGCTCGGCCGCGAGGCCGTCAACGGGCTATATGACTACTTTGTGTCGAAATATGGAGGCGAAGACTCTATCCGATTCCAAGAGGCGCGCACCAACTTCGTCAAGAGTATGGCAGCCTACTCAGTCATTTCTTACCTGCTGCAATTCAAGGACCGACATAACGGAAATATCATGATCGATGATGCCGGTCATATCATCCACATTGACTTTGGATTCTGCTTCGATATTGCGCCTGGTGGAGTGCGCTTCGAGCGCGCGCCATTCAAGTTGACCTCGGAAATGGTCGCCGTCATGAGTGGAACCCATGACCCAGCCCACCACCAGGGCGGCAACTCGGGCATCAACTTGCCCGGCAGCTCCCACAACCCGACCAACACGCAGCCATACCGGTGGTTCGAGTCGTTGGTGGTGAAGGCATTCCTTGCATCTCGCCCTTATAGCACGAAGCTGGCCCATATTGTCTCCCTCATGCTGGACAGTGGCCTTCCTTGCTTCAAGCCCGAGACTCTGAAGAATTTCCGTGACCGGTTTGTGTTGGACAAGAGCGAGCGCGATGCGGCCGAGTACATGCGAGAACTTGTTCGCAAGTCGTATATGAGCGTGTCAACTAAGGGTTATGATCAGTTCCAACTGATGACCAACGGTATTCCTTACTAGACTATGTAGGTGTTATACACATCATTTTCTCTATAGATATTTAATTTATTTGAATTTCAGATTGATTTACCATTCATTTACCATTCGATTTTACTCTACGAAAAAAATATAAAAACCAAAAAGGGTGGTTGACGTCACGACTTTGTCGGCACCAGTTCCCCGGACGATACCCCGACATCTGATGTTATTGCGTCTATAGTTTGGTCTAAAATAGGGAGTATAGGGGGTATAGGGGGTATAGGATATAATAAGCGACCTCTTATAAATCTGTTCTATACATACATATAATCTATAACTAACTAGTTATAGATATATCTAACTATAGTTATATAGTTATATATGTATATATATACTTCAATTACCCTCCGAGTGGCGCCTTCAATGCATGACGATCTACACCGTACTAACTCCGACGAGTGTTCCGGAAGTGGCAATATGACGATACAGAGACATTTGACTTAGATCAGCTCTTTTTATAACTTGGGAACAGCCCTATTTCCGGTCCTCTTAACGCCAAATCCTCTCCCTACCCTAACCTATCCTACCCAAATCTGGAATAACACATGAAACTGTATATTCCACATATTATATACACCTCCAATATTCCATCTCCAGGATGAAAATCCCATTCCTCAACAAACTCAGCGGTGGAGGGACAGGGACCAAGTCCCCGCCACTGACGGACTTGTCGGGACAGTCAGCGATGATAGATCGCGAGAAAAGAGGCAGCAACATGGACGAGTCGCGTGTGCCATGGGTGACATGGAGGTCGGTGTTGCTAGGCGGCTTTGTCTCGATTGGTGGTGTCATTTTCGGATATGATACTGGTCAGATCTCGGGCTTTTTGGAGATGCGGAACTTCAAGCAGCGGTTTGCGCAGCTGAAGCCCGATGGGACGTATACGTTTAACAATGTCCGGTCTGGATTGATTGTTTCCATGGTGAGTGAATACCATTGCATGTCTTTGAAAAAAGAAAAAAAAAAAAAAAAAAGAAAAAGAAAAGCAAGAAAAAGCTAACGCTTTCTAGCTTTCCATCGGTACCTTGATAGGAGCTCTCCTCGCCGGGCCATTGACCGATCGAATTGGCCGAAAATGGTCCATCTTCTTCTGGTGTATCATCCTCCATATCGGACTGATCATCCAGATCTCCTCACCAGCAGGAAAATGGTACCAGTTCATGATGGGACGATTCGTAACCGGATTCGGCGTGGGAGCCTGCTCACTGCTGGTGCCCATGTACCAGGGGTGAGATTGCACCACGACACATCCGAGGAGCCATGGTGTGGTAAGTAGTAACCCAACAGTCCAACATATTGCAATATACCCACCATAACCCTAACACCATCCCAGCTCGTACCAATTATTCGTAACGCTGGGCATCTTCGTCGCTTACTGCATCAACTTCGGCACGGAGAGCATGGACAGCTCCGCCTCTTGGAGAATCCCACTCGGGATCACATTCCTATGGGGTCTGGTCCTTGGTCTCGGCATCCTCTTCTTCCCGGAGAGTCCTCGATTCGATTACCGCAATGGCCGTGTGGACCGTGCCCGACGCACCATGTCGAAGCTGTATGGTGTACCCGAGAACCATCGGGTCATCGTGCATGAGATTGCCGAGATCCAGGAACAGCTGGATGCCGAGCAGGGGGCACGAGGCGGGATCCGCGGGTGGCTTGAGATGTTCAAGGGGCCACGCATGGCGTACCGCATCATACTTGGTATTGTGCTCCAAGCTCTGCAGCAGCTGACCGGTGCCAACTACTTCTTCTACTACGTGAGTGTTCCTTCTTTCAAGGGGTGTAACGTAACACACGTTCGAGCCTGCTTAATATGATATAGGGAACGGTTATCTTCAACGGAGCAGGAATCGACAACACATTCGTGACGCAGATGATCCTGGGCGGAGTGAACTTCGGCACGACATTCGGCGGCCTATACGTGATCGAGCACTTCGGACGACGCAAGTCCCTCATCACAGGTGGGATCTGGATGTTCATCTGCTTTATGGTATTTGCGTCTGTGGGCCACTTCTCGCTTGATGTTAATACGCCGCGTAACACACCTGGAGCGGGTAAAGCGATGGTTGTGTTTGCTTGTCTGTTCATCACTGGGTTTGCTATGACGTGGGGGCCGATGGTGTGGGCTATTGTGGCCGAGCTGTATCCATCACGGTACCGAGCGCGAGCGATGGCGATGGCGACTGCGTCGAACTGGCTGTGGAATTTCCTGATTGGATTCTTCACGCCGTTTATCACTGGCGATATTGACTTTGCATATGGATATGTGTTTGCCGGGTGCCTGTTTTTCGCGGTCATTATAGTTTACTTCTTTGTCATCGAGGGCAAGGATAAGACGCTTGAGGAGATGGATATGATGTATGTGATGCGTGTGCCACCGTGGAAGAGCAGCAAGTGGCAGCCGCCGGAGCCGGAGAATCGGCTCACGACCGATCAGCTTGTGGATCGGAAGGTTGCGAAGAAGTATAACAAGGAAGATGAGGGTGGGGAGAGCAAGAAGCAGACGGAGGGGATGCCTGGGCATTCACATGCTGAGACTGCTGAGGAAGCGGATAATCCTGGGACCGGACCTTCGCACTTCTCTTAAGGATTGACCTTGGGGTGACGTTTGGTGACACGAAGAGTTGAAGTGGTGGGCTGTATATGGACCGAGAGGAAGCCTGTGTGATGATGGGGAATAATAAACATACGGGAGGAGTTCAGTGTATATACTGAAACGAATAAAGGAGACATTAAGTACTTCAAAATACAATTCATAGTCCAATAACCAGTGACCAGTGGGTGTCAATTTGGTAGTCATATAAGAATAAAAAAAAAACATCCGCATCATCTGGATGGGATGGGTAAGGAAATGGCTCAAAAACATATGAAAACGCCGATCCCAGTGCTGAAAAAAAAAAAAAAAAAAAAAAGAGACAAGTTGATGATCCTTCATGGATCATTTTGATACATATTCCACGTATTGGTAGAAAGAGGAGGAAGAGTTGGGAAGAAACATCAGGATGAGAACCCAGAATTGATACAAGTCTGATGAGACTTTTGGCATCGAATGCAGAAAAAGTAAAAAAAAACAAAGGAAAGAAGCCAGGTAGGCCAGGTAGCATCGATCAGGATATACTTCCCTTGAAAAGGTGACTAGAGACCTCTAATCCATAAAGTCACCTCGCAAGATCTTCTCCTGGAAGAAATCCGGCTTATTCTGCTTAGGCTGACGGGGCATTTCCCGGCTAGGCTGCTCCATCGACGCGATGGAAGCAGCACGCTGGTGGTGACCGACGGAACGCTGGGCTGCCTGTGGGGAGACAGGGCTGCCGAGGGAAGGGGCACGCTCGGCACGCTCGGCACGAGAGCGGAGGGCCTCTGACCAGTTAAAGCCTTCGCCTAAGGGTCGGCGTGATGCGTTAGATCTCTCATCCTGAGGAGAGGTTGAAGTACTTGCGGAAGAACGGGTAGTAACAATGGCTGAACCAGCCGGAGGGGAACGGCGCGCGCCTACGGCAGATGGAGGGGGGTAATTTCTACCATTGCCTATGCTTCCTGCACGAGCATCACGCAGGGCCTGTGCACCAAAGGAGACGCGTCTCCCGAACTGCGAGTTAGGCGAGGATCCTGTTGCTTGGTCATCCTCGAGGGCATCTTCGGCCGGGACGTTGGAGCCCATTGAGCTAGATAGGCTACCTCGACGGAAGTTGCGGTTGCCACCAAAGGCGGATGCTTGAGTGGGGGAACCCGAGAGGCCTAGCGTGGTGATTGACAGCCGACGCTGGTTGGACTGTTGGTTTGCACCCTGGGTGTTGGATGGGTTGCTGGGCTTGGAGAATATGTCGGCGATGGAACCACGACGTCGACGGTTCTCTGCATGTGGGACCGAGATGGGGGAGGTGGGATCGTTGGACATTGTCAGATAAAGAAGGGTCTGAACTGAGAGCAGGAAATTGCGGACGGACTAGCCGCCCTTCTCATATAATAGAAGATTGGAGAATGGAGTAAGATTGAAGTGACGAGAATGGTGGTCTCAGCACTTGGAAGAGGGGGAGGAGGGTGGAATGATGGTAGTGGTGTGGTGGAGGGGGGAGGGGATTCTTGATTTGAGGAAAGATTGAAAAGATTTAAAGAATTCAGAATTCAGATGGGATTTAATAAAAAAGAAGGGATAAGTTAGAGAAGATGTTAGAAGAAGAAGAAGAAGAAGAAGGAAGAAGAAGAAGAAGGGGGGAATATACGTTCACCGAAAGACAGAAGAAAGCTAAGCATCCGATTTTCTGGGGAAAGTGGCGCTAAGTGGAGAGTGGTGATGTCGACGGGCTGACTAAGCACTCCGTTTTGGGTTATTAGTTTATCTAAGCATATCTAAGCTATTATCTAAGCTATAGTTATATAAGCTATAGTTATATAAGAATATAGTTATAACTATATATATATATATAATTATATATATAGTAGATGATATATATCTTGGTACCTTCATTCTAACTTATCACCTATATAACACACACAGTAAATAGTCAACCTGGTTTACAGAAGGAGGGGGGGAATCATGCAACAAAACGCTAATCCCTGCAGAAAAGAGGGGGAGCATTCGTGTTCGTAGCTCAAAAAAAAAAAAAAAAAAAAAAAAGTAAATAAATATGGACGTACATCGTGTATTGCTCGTTTCCCTAAAAAAGGGTTGGAAGTGCTAGATTTCCGATTTCTTGGCCGTTCCCGAAGGAATCCCCTCTTGTCGATGTCATTATAGACAGAGCAGATCATACCCCCCCCCCAAGTTTAAGCTAGAAAATCAGGAAAAAAATCAAGGCAAATGAAACAACTGAATCAGTTTACGGCCAATCATCGGCTCGATTTCAGTGCCATCACGAGCGATTTTAATTTCTCGATTTGCATTCCAAGGGTTACGGAGACCACGAGTGCGCTGAAAGGGCACTCGCTCCGTCGAAATCCATTGTATACGGAACGGTTTACCAAAGGGTTGACCTTCTTCCGGATCCTCAGGCTCGACGCTCTTGACGCTGATGGTCTCGTTCTCGTTCTCATCTTCCGACGATTCAACTTCCCAGAAGATAGTACCCCGCACTGAATCATCGATGATTCGGCCTTGCGGCGCTGTCAAGGTCGCCGCTGTCAGGGTCACGTCGAGCTCATCGGGTCCACTGGGCGGCGGGTCGGGCCGGGATGGCATCTCCAAGGCCAGCTCCTCGTCGTCGCTGATCGGCGACATCATACGCGCGTATCCAAAATACTCGCCAGATTTGTTGGCAGAGAATATTAAATAAACGTAATCAGTAGTCTGGGCCAAGGTCAATTTCCGGCATTGCAGTGCTGTATATAGGTCTATACTCACCTCAAAAGCTTGATTCATCACCGCCTCATTGTGTGACTGTGTAGCCCAAATGCCACTTTGCTTGCTCAGTTCGAGATCCTCCACTGTCAAGCTTTTAACAATAAAGTAACGATCTACCAGCCGGGCCGGGGGCGGATAGTTCCCTGTAGCAGGCGCGGCCGAGCTGAGCTCCGGTGCGATGCAAGGGTCCTCGCCCGGGTCAGTAGCAGTAGCCGTAGTCGTAGCCGTAGACGTAGCAATATCCTCCAATCGTGGCCGGGGAGCATAATTCACCACAGGAACTGCCAACCCTACAGATCCGGACCCCGGGGCATTGGACCCCTTTCGCAATCGGCAGACAACACGCACGCCCTGGAATCGGGAGTCGTGGAATCTTGCCAACGCCGCGGCACAGGCGGTAGCCGACTTATAGTTCACGAACGCACAATTACTCTTGGAGATCAGAAACACACTTTCGATGTCGTTTGTTGCCTCTTGTGAGAAATGATCCTTGAGATCCACGACATTGGCTCCTGGGGGAGATTCCCAACCCAGAGCGCGTGGCCGGATTGCTTTGGTTTTCGGGGTGGTCCTCGTGTGGTATTCGGAGCGGTCGGGGCTGGTTGCGAAGGGGAACTGTCTTTAGATGAATGGAAAATTAGATATGGGTCCAAATGGCGAAATCCGAGGGAAGGGAGGGCGGGGAATGAGCTCACCGGAGAGTAGTGGTTGGGGTTGGGGCGCTAATTTCATGGGGTTGGATCCATCCACGATGGTCTTTGAGACGTCATATTCCAGATCGGCCATTCGCTTATCGGCTTCTTTGCGCAAAGAGTCCGGTTTCGATGGCGAGCTCGTGTTAGTGCGGACTGGAGATGCAGCCTGGGGCATTTGGCCGGCAGGAAGCATCCCAGGTCCATAAGGGGGAGGGTATGGTGAATGAGGGTAGTACCCCGAGCCATATGGGGATATTTGTCCGGGACTGAGGTTTTGCATTTGGGTTCCATGTGGCCGGTAATGAGTTCCATGTTGAACAGGGCCTGGGTGTTGAGGGATCGCATACGGCGGATACGCTGGGTAAGGCATGCCGTACGCCATGCCTCCGGTGTTGGGTCCATACGGAGCCACTGGCATGGGATACATCATGCCTTGCCCTTGGGCCGTCGGGTAATGATGTATTGACTGATCATAGCCTTGTGGATGATGGCCTGGAAGGAAGTATCCCATGTTGCCCATATTTAAAGGAGAATGGGCGGTTCCATGTCGAGCTTCCGCAAAGCTGGAATGGTGTCTGAGATTGGGAGGTGAGGCTGAAGTAGAAGATGTAGCTGAGAGGAGATTTAGTCAATAGACAACTCTTGGACAAATATTCTGAGAAGAGCAGGGACTAACCCTGTTCTGATATCGGGGCGGTCCCATCGGCTGTCCCGACTGTCTTATCTGGAGAAACATTGCCCATGGGGTCGTTGATCAAACCTTCAATTGCAGTCGCCTTTGAAACTACTTTATAGATATTAGTGTCTGTATAGATTGGACACCTGTTACTCGAGATCTTACCTATAAGTCAAGTAGCCCGAGGCCACTGGGGTTTCTATAAGAAAACCCAGAAATCTCGCAGATGCTCCGATAGAAAAGAAAAGGAAAGAAAAGAAAAGAACGAAAAGAATAGAACAGAACAGAATAGTGTAGAAGAGAAGATGAAAGAGACCAGGAAAAACCCAAACTATACAAGTCAGTTCTCTGAATTTGGGATCAGAACATCTCAACAGAATGTGAGTGAGTGAGTGAGTGAGTGAGTGATGGTTTAAGAGGAAATGGAAAGGGGAGAGAAAAAAAAGAGAAAAAAAGAGAAAAACCACCAACACGCACTAACATTCCCCTCCCCCCTCTTCTCCTTCTAGACCATAAGCCCAAGCTCACAAAAACCAAGTAGGACAAAAAGACAAAGGGATTATAAAAGAAACAAGTGGGTTAGGGTTAGGCATAAGAGATAGGGAGGAGTGAAGCTTTAAGGCTATAACGGGATCAAGGCCAAGATATGTCAGGGCAGGGGGTCAGGTCCACTGCTAGAATATACCAGAGAGAAGGTACCACGATCAGGTAGAGTGAGGGAATATGAAATCAAACCCCCCTAAAGAGGTGACATACCTTAGTACTTTTAAGTGTTGTGTTACTTTGATGGTCTAGACAGGACGGGGGGAGGTATTTTAGTCAATTGGCATTGAAGACCAAAAGAGCCGAGGGGGAGGCTGGTGACAAGAGGCTAAAATTCGTGAAGAATACGGATCTCCCGGGGAGCTTGGAAAACAAAGATATAAAGAGAAAAAAGAAGGCTGACAGAGATATATAGGGCAGGAAAAAAAAAAGAAAAAGAAGAGTGCCCAAAAAGGGGAGGCTAATAAATAAAGTGGGAAGTGACTTGGGATGTGAGGGTCCTTGGGGGGGGGTCTTTTTGGGAGAGGTGGAATTGAAGCCAATCAACTTTCTTGGCAGGTGACAAACTGTGGCTGATTAGTACGTATAGGTACAGATATTATTGTAATAGAAGGAATAATGTAGAAAATAAGAAAAGAAAAAGAAAAGAAAAGGGCGGGAACGGGATTGTATACTGTATACAGTACAGTATACAGCCATTAGGGGTTTTTGTTTATAGTCTAAAGTGAAAAATATGGAACCTGGCAATGACTATCGAAGGGCTCGAGTATCGTGTCATCTCGTGCAGATACGCACCAACTGATTATTGGGATTTTATCCTTCTTTTCCTTCCCGTGTTTTGGTGATGGGTATCTGGGCGGGACCAGAATTGATGCGATTGGGGGGATATTAATCTGTTGCGGACCTGTTGAAAAATAACTGGAGTGACTTGAACTGAGGAGCCTCTTCGAATCGGGGCCAATGGTCGAGTTGACAGATTTGCCACTGTCAGGGGAGTGGAGGGGAGTGGAGAAGACAAAGAACCCAATGAGAGCGTATGGATGTGCAATGTGTGGGATGAGCTCCGTGCAACCTGTACAACGGTACAGTATGTATAATATACGCCAGGCGTAAGGACCGAATGAGACATTCGATCCGACGCATAACCCTAAGGGGAAGGCAAAGACCGTTGGAGCTGGAGCTATTCTGGATACACTCCCACTAGGCTCGATCATGATCCCACCAATTATGTTTCAATATTGGGTTCAAACGGGATTTTCCACGGCTTTGAATGGTGGAGATGTGGAAGTACCGGGTACAATGTTGGATATTGTAGTATTCCGAGTCTCAAGCCTATTCTAGAGGCTAAAAGGGACATCATGTGCTACTGTATAGTATGACAGAGCACAATTGCCTAATGCTAGGCCATGGCAGGAACCGAGAAAGTCTTGATCATGGTGTACTTTGGACGATATAGTATTGACTCTGGCCGTTTCAGAGTATATGCGATGGATACCGTACGTACCGCTGATGAATAGGGATCAAATGGAGCTTGGTGATCCTAGGGAAAAAAAGGTAAGACATACCTAGGTAAATCTTCAACATCAAATAGGACATGGGAAGCTTCTTCCCTCAATATGAGCCAATTGGAACAGAACAGACAGGAGAAGGAGACAGGAGAAAGGACAAAATGAGGTGAAGTCGGATCCACTCAGTTTTATCCATCGGCATCTCAGACCAGCCAATCAGAGATGGGTACTGGGGACTACAGCGGGCATCAGAGACAACCATGGACTATCTAGATAGGCCTTTTGTATCTTTTTGAAATAGAAGGCACACTCCGGGAAAAAGATAATAGAGAAAAATAAGATTATAGAATAATTCCTCTTTAGTTAATTGTATTTCCCCAGTCATCACATGTGTTCTTGCTATACAATATACTGTGAAGGCATATATATATCCACTATCCACTGCACTGTGGCTTTCCATCAAACCAATCAGAGATGTCAGAAACAGCCACAATGACTCTGGAGTCACTGTCCAGAGAAATAGGAAAAATAGGAAACAAATATGGGTTCATTTTTTTGGGGTAGTACGTACATATTATAACTACATACAACATAGTTACGTATGCTGTATATTGTATACCTTCATATATGATACTTTCCTTCATTGGCTGACAACTCCCGGACTAATTCTCCGAATCAACTTACGTATGTGTTGTGGTTCGTACTACACATATAACTATCGCATGGGATATCTGCATTCTCGACACTTGCCCTAGTTATATTGTATAGCTCATTTGCCACTCTGACCCACTATGGTGGCGTATACCCCAATTGGACTACGGAGTATAACCCGGAGATATCCCGAGAATGGCAGGAACAGACATCCTTCCTATCTACAACCTACAATATCCAAATATCCAAATATTCAAATATCCAAATATAAATATAGTACCATTCAATTCGGATAGTGATAGACGTCGACGACAGAGAGCCACTAACGCACCTTTGCTGTAGATGCATTTTTCCGAAAGGATATTCCAGCGTTTTCTTTCCATGCACTCTATTTTTGTACCCGACTTGAATATGAGAATATAAGCCAAGTCTGAGTGGGAATTGGCGATCTAACGTGAGTGGTTCGGACATTCTCTGCGGGAAGACGCCACATGGACACCTGAGGCGTCACTATGGATCCTCCTGACGTCATGGATACTCCCCTCTTCACTTCACCTTTCTATACCCTTCTATGACTGTGGGTTCTACTACAATATACATCACTATAGGGATCGGCAGGGATCGGCAGGGATCGGCAGGGATCCGAGCAGGACATCTCCATTCTCCATGTTGCAATTGTGACTCAGAACGAACTTGGGTAAGCTCCAATGTTGCATTGCGTACTCCGTACAATGGACCCCTTCACAGCCCCCCACGTCTTCATATCTCCATCGCCATATCCATATTTGTATGATGTACCGTAGGTGGCTTCTACTTTTCATCTAGAAGATTGCAGGTCTTACCGTCCTCGGCCACCGCTAGACGCCACTGCCCCACGGCTTTGCAGTTCTAGTTCTATGATCGTTGGGATTATCTGATATCAGCTGCTGGGGTCAGTGGGGAGACTCGGCCGTGTTGAGATGACCACGGTTAGGCAACTCCATTCCCGTAGGTACAGTATCCAGTATGTTTGGGAGTTATAGATATTTTGATATAAGGAAAGTGGATGCCGTAGGTACAGTACCTAGTACAACATTGTTGTATGTTGTAAAGAATCGGTGCGTGGTGGGTTATAGATATTCTGATACAAGGAAAGTGAATGACGAGGACGAATAAAAGAAAACAGGAGTAGGTAGCTCCATTCAATATAGTATGTTGATCGCTGGGTGAGAACTTCATTCTTCCATGGCCTTGATTGATAACTGCAATAGTAGCCCTAATTCCTCCAAGGTCTTCCAAGCACAACTACATATAAACACAGAATGATCAGAACGCAGGGCAAAGGCAACAGACCCGACCCATATTTGAATTTGAATTTGTCCTAGAAGACAATAAACCATAAAAGCAGTGAGCAATCATCCAAAAGCAGGATCGATATGCTAGTATCAAGAATTGACACGAAGAAGTGAAAAAAAAAGAGAAAGAAAGAGAAAGAAATCGCTGCCTGGCCCTCATACAAACCAAAGAGCGAAACAAGAAAGATTCTGACCAGAAACAGAAAACAAAGAGAAGGGAACATCAAAAAGTCATCAGAGGGGAATTTTTCATACGGAATCTCATTAAACACTGGTATAATTACGATTATGGGCGGCGCGGCTGATGTGCTAGACGGGGGGATATAGACAAGATGAAGCGCAGGGGGAGAAGCCCTTTATCGATCAATCCCAAATGAAGCCACCTTCCCCGCAAAGCGGGCACCAGCACTTCCTCTTTTCTGGAGCTTCTCTTTGTCTTTATCTCTGCTTTCTGCGAGAGTTGGAGTGTTTGACAAAGAGGAAGATTCCTTGCTGCGGATAGTCGGGAGTGAACCCAGGGTATCATTTGCAGAGGACTTTCCACCGAGCGGGGGTGGAGGCACGCTGAAAGCAGATGTGCGGGCCGTCCGTTGGCTGAGGTAGAGCTTGGCTGCGGGGGAGAGAGGGATGGATGGGGGTTGTGGCGGGATCTCGGCGCCATTTTGGACTAGGAGCTCGGCGATAGGGAACGGGATGGCTTTTGCGCTAGACCTGGGGGCGAGAGTGGTCGGCGGGGCTCCCGGGGACGCAGGATCGGCTGCGGCGAGGGCCAGGAAGGTGGCGTGGGTGTTGCGGGAGCGATCGGTTATGTTTACATTTCCACAGAGGGCGAGGCCGTAGAGGACACCTTGAATGTCGTTCTTTTTAATTGACGCGAGAAGTGTTTCATTAGGTGTCGCGAAGCGAGAGCGTGGCGAAGGCAGATTCTCAACGTAGGCTCGGTCAACATATTTGGCGGTGATGAATTTCAACCGCTGCTCTCGTGTAGAACTGGCGCTCGGCTTGAGAGTTTGATCCAGGGTCGCCTCCCA